GCAGCAGCGTAAAATTTTGAGAGTGTCTATTCAACATAAATGATGAACTAACCTAACTTTGTGTAAATAGACCATGATATAGAAATATGTACACATATGCAGTTGTGACTGACGTGTTTCTTTTTTCTGAATTTATACAAACACTATTTCATTTTATAGTAAATTAGTTTTGGCTAGTTTATGTTTATGAACAGAGACCTACAGATGCAGTAAAGGAAAACTCATTTGTGAATCTGTGTTTAAAGCAAGTGTTTTGTGCTTATGATAAATTTAATAGACATCAGCGTCAGACTAATTAATGACGTTCTATTAAAAGATTGGTTTACCAAGAGTGACACTGGAGTATTTTCACCATAAAAATGGTAATAGGACATTAGAGTCATAATTAATCTTTTAGTACTTTTACTTTCGATACTTAAGTACATTTGAAGGCAAATATTTTTGTACTTTTACTCAAGGGGAGGTCTAAAGGGAGGAACTTCTACTTTTACTGGAGTAATATTTTACCTTGGGTATCTATACTTTAACCCAAGTACATGGTTTGTGTACTTCGTCCACCACTGTACAAGATTCAAATGTCCACATTTATCTTAGAAGAGCCCAAATATGTTAATTTGAATTGCTGTTGGCGTAGTGCTAACTACTATCTCATAGGGGTGCTAGCAGAATTTAGCATCATAGTGTTCATATTCATGGCCCAAAATGAAGGCCCAGCTCTAATAGTCATCGTTCACCACTGCAGTATTTAGAGTTGATCTACACACACAAGAGATCACAGCAACATTTCATGGCAAAATGACTTAACTTACATTATTTTTTAAAGAATAGTTTGATGTAGTGTGTAAACTTTGACCTTTCAAATTGTACCATTTACTCTCCAGTCCATATATGGAAACTTCATTTCATGATGAATGAAAATTCAAAATAAAAACATTTAATAAAATCTTGTTACAATAAGAAAATCAAAGGGCAATTTCACAGATATTTCTAAATTGCTGCATAATTAAACAGTTAATAAGTAAACAGAGTTGTTCAGAGTGGTTTGGTGTGAAACGCTCCGTGTAGAGAAACTTACCGAATCAGAATTGTTCACAGTGGTGGTGATAGGAACCAGACATCCACCTCTAAAAGCTCCCTCACAGAAAGTTAATACATGAAATGATTATGAATTCACTGCCTGATGATGAGTTGGCCTAAAAAATTCATTCATGGTAGAATAACAGGTGAAATAACATGCAGCGTGCTGTGAGGCAAAATAGTCCCCGTAGAAAACTAATTATTTCAAATTATTTCATCATCAACATTCCATATAAACTCAGAAGACTCAGGTAGGTTCACTGGTGTTTTTGGATAGTAAATAAAATGTCTATATTTGTGTTGTAGTCATGGCGACCCCTGGTTCCTATCACCACCACTGTAAAGAAATCTGAACCATTTCACACCAAACCACTCTGAATCACTCTGTTTACACCCAAGACCCTCAATTACGCAGAAATTTGCAAGATTTAGGAATTCCCCTTTCAGAAGGCGTTTTTTCCTCCATTTCAGAGACGCAGTGTTTTGATAGGACAGCAATGATGTAGTGATTGACAAACACACAAATAAACCGTGATGGATCTGTCAGTGTCGTAATTCACAAGCTGCCACTTCCACAACTGTCCTCCTCCCATATTTACGATATCACAAAAGTTTGAATGTGAAAAGAACAAACGCAGACACAAATTTTTATTTACTTTATTATGTTTTAATTAAAACAGCAAAGAAAATAGCACAATATAGGGAGATTCACTCGAAAGAGGCCCCGAATATTCTGCTGTAACTCCCGTTAGGACGAAGCAATCTGAACCAAAAAAATACGCTACATACCTTGACGCATGTGTGAATGATTGCATTACATGCGATGCTGGAAGTGATCTCTGTTTTCTGCCAGACACATGAAGGGGTGCAGTGGTATGCATGGGGTAAGGTTAAATGTCGCAACGATTGTTCGGCGCCTACCTCATCGCTCCGACGCAGGGGCATCCCGGCTTGTTCAAAGCTCCATATACTGAGGAGCACATTACATGTTGTTTGGTTCAAATTGCTTCGTCCTAACAAGAGTTATTACAGAATATTCGGGGCCTCTTTCAAGTGAATCTCCCTGTAGAATCTTTTACCAGATTAATCTGCACTAAAATTGAGAGTTGGACATGCATATTAAAAATTTAGTATTTTTAAATTAGTGACCAAATTAGTATAACTAAAACAATCAAGTAGTGAAAAATCAATAGAGTTAAAAAAAATTGGATCAAATAGTCCATCTTATCAGTATTTATGAGCCAGTAAGCATGCTTGGTCCAAAATCTAGGCTGCTGATTGGCTGTCTAAATTACATTCTGTATGCATGTTATTAACATTAGTGCTGCTTAATTAGTCTGTGATTTGTTTTCATCAGTAAATAAACCCACCAATTCGCACGCTTTGCTGGTTTAGGCCACACCCACTTTGAGTATGTAATTTAAAACAAGGATATTGTACAGGAAAAGATAGAAAACAGCACTGAATGAGTGAAATTCACTCAATTCTTTACATGCACAAAGAAACTGATAATAAATGAGAAAATAAGGCAGTAAAGCTGAGAGAACTGGATGACTCAGGCCACGATAGATGCCAGTATGATGTTGACCTTTGACCTCACAGAAGTCGTGCATCATTCTGTAGTCTACAGAGCTCTGCTGGTGACATGCGGTATAAATAAAAATAACATGTAGCCACACCGTATTAATGCATGGGAATGAGATCCTAGTGCCACGAAAGCATGGGAACAAGATAATAAAGTCGCGGCCAAGACTTAGTAAAGCATGGGAGTGAGATCATGACTTAACAAACTGTGTTCAGGGCTTAATGATCTTATTCCCACACCTCACTAAGTTGTGGATATGACTTAATTATATCATTCCCACACCTTATTGAGTAGTGGCCCCGCTTTATTTTTATTTATACCTGATGTCACCAGCAGGGCTCCGTAGTAGTCGGTGTCATGCCCATATAAGGAACTCCGAAGCTGGTTTCGTCTGTAGGAAAACCTAATAGCGTTTTTGCATATCGCTGATTTTGCGCCCTGTGGTGAACAAAAATGTTCCAAAGCCGGGAATGTAGTTTATGAGGAGTCTGGCCACTTCCTATTTTCCCCGTTATATCAAAAACAGGTCCGCAAAAGAGCAGAGGACGCCCACGAGGGAGTCTTAAATGAATGAGAGTAAATGGAGTTAAATGCCTAAAAATGTTTAGTTTAAATATTTTCTAATCACTCGCTCAGAACTTTCCTTTAATTTTAGAAAGTAGAAGGATGTTTTTCACTTAAAAAGCAAAGAAAAATCACCTGTATGTTTCCTTTTTTATACAGCAAACGGGTTTTGGGCAGCAAAACAACAAAACTGATACTGAGTGCTGATTGGTTGGCGAGCGGAGCAGCTCATTGGCTGTTCGCGCTCACTGACGTCATGTACCTGAGTATACGTCATGAACGTACCTCCTATAACTCGAGTTTAAAAGCTCTTAAAAATATAACAGCAGTGTTAATGTTTCATGCTGTTCTGTGTTCAAGGTACGAATGTATTATTTATGTTTAAGCGTTTATAAACGATGGTTTCGCTCAAATGCTCCATACTAACCCATTCATTTTGGACTCGCTCGGGAGCGCCCTCTAGTGTTTGAGAAACCCGGACATTACAGAGCGGTAATTCTCCTCTCTAGAAGTTCTCTGGTATCACATCACAAAGCCTTCAGCATGTCTACACTGGTAACGCAGAGTCTGCGTCAAGTCAAAATGTAAACAAACCACAGACCAATCAGAAAACAGCTGTTTACTGATGGAGCTGTGTAGATGTGGTTTAGATTTAATAGAGAGTATAACGGGTTATGTTTCATCCCCACATTTAACATCAGCAGTCTAAATAATAGAGTTAAAATAGCAATGTAGCGCCCCCTGGTGTTGGGCTGCTTGGTTAAATCTGCTAACTTGTATCTGCACTGTATAGTTTAGTGTTTCTCTCTGCTGTTCACACCTCGATCAGTTCAAGAAGGGATTAATTAGCTAATAATATCAGGTATTTTAACGAGGGAAACCACAGTAATGCAGTGCAGGGGTTGCAGGACTGGAGATGAACTCTGAACTAACTGCACCAGCAAACTTACAGAATCACGTCTGTCAAAACACGACGTAGTTTTCCGACCCACAACATTTAGTCTTATATTTAATGTTTATGTTTCTCCATTCAAATGTCATTTAAATCTCCAGAAACAGAGAGTAAAGTTATACCGGCTGTTTGCAGCTCCGTTAAGGGGACGACTGTTTATCTCTCGGCTGATAACATTAGCTAAAGTTATCTAAAGGCTAGCATTGCTCTCATCTGTGTTAATTAGCTGATGTTGTTTCCCTCCTATGATGACAAAGAGTTTTCTCCTCTTTATGCATCACCATGTGATCCTTTACCCACCCTGATGTGAAGAGCCTTCTGTGCTTTTAAATGCTGTGATAGGCTCTCCAGAATAGTGAGAGGGGCTGAGTATGAGATAAGCATGTCAGGAAAACACAAATTTGGTAGCTTTTCCGACAGTTTAAGTGGCACCAGGAGGGGAAACTGTATAAAGATCACTGACCTTGTCCAGGTAACGTTTTTTCTCTTCCAAAGTAAGGAGAGTAATTTTAGCCATCTTTCACTTCTAGTTACGTTCGTGCGGAGCAGTTAAGCCCGAAAGTCGGTCCCAAATATGTCGGCCACAACAGAAAAATCACTTGACTGGAACCCTGGGATATACCTTAACCAGCTCATAATTCATGGAATCCAGTGATGTTTTGTTGGAAAAATGTCGGCGCGGCGGAACTTATCAGCTTTAGAGCACTTTTGTGCACTGAAGGACGTGACAGCTGACAGAGAAAACCAGCTTACACTCCTAATACAGAGCGACTCAGACTTTAAAGGCCAAGCAGGTTGGTCCACTCTGGTCATGTGACCAGTGGCCGCTCATTCTGATTGGTTAATCGCGGTACTCCTGCGCTGCACTCTTTAGCCACGCAGACACACATCCCTCGATCTCCTGCATAGAAAAAAAACAGGAAAACACAAGAGAGTGTTTGTTTATGTTTGTGTGGCTGTGTGGAAGGATAGAGAGAGGGAGAGAGAGAGAGAGAGAGAGAGAGAGAGAATGAGGGAGTGAGAGAGAGTGGAGGGGGATGGTTTGTGAAGTGCAGTATTACAGTAATCCATCTTTATTCCTCCACACGCCATCACTGTTTCCCCACACAATCCATATCAGTATCACACTTCCTCTCTCTCCCCTCCTTCCCTGCTCTCTCACACTCTTTCTCTTCTCTCACCTTTCTGGCCTGTTTCAGTGAGGTTCTGTCTGAGGACCGCAATGGGTTCATGTCGGCGCAGTGGGCGGAGCCTCGAATGAGCACGGCTCTGTGTTTGTCCTCACCGGTACCGTTACGCACGATGCTGAGTGTCATCCAGGGGTCAATGTCACCTAAAACGAGGCAAAAAGTCACAATCAGTGTAACTGAAACTGTGGAAAATGAGTTTATATCACAATACCTACATTTAGAGCCAGTTATTCATTCAGCCTAATGAGAAACTGTAGAACAGACTCAGTTTATATCACAATACCTACATTTAGAGTCAGTTATTCATTCAACCTATCGAGAAACTGATTGATATTTTTAAAATTGATTACAGTTGTTGGATGTGACCGGGTCAGTCAGTGCCACTGAATGTCTTCTCACCGTTGACGTAGAGGACGCGGTGTGTTTGTGGCTGGTCTCCTCCGTAGTACTGGTTGGTGAAGTCGATGTTGGCGGGCAGGGTGTGCTGGGAGATGTTGAACAGCAGGAGGCACAGCTGAGTCTGAGTCTGCAGCGTCCTCATGTGGGAGAACAGGCAGCTGGAATCTTCACACGTCTGATCTGTTTCAGAGCAACACAAAACAGAGCGCAATATGAAACATGTTCTCTAGCAGATACTGAATAATTCATAGTAGTTCATGAATAATTCAACATTAACTAAATTATACTACTAAATTATTTGTAGCATATACTGACTAATTAATTGTAGATACTGGATAAATCATAGCAGGCATTAAACAGTTAATCACAGATACTGAATGAGTTATAGTAGTTAATGAATAATTCATAGAAGTTATTGAATAATTTATAGTAGATACAGAATAATTTTGTAGAAGATTTAAAAAATAAATAATAGATACTTAATATATATAAGCTATTGAATAATTCATTATAGTTATTAAATAATTTATAGTAGTTACTGAATAATTTCTAGAAATTATTGAATAATTCATGGTAGTTAATGAATAATTTACAGAAGCTATTGAATAATTAATAGCAGTTACTGAATAATTTATAGTAGATACTGAGTAATTTATAAAAGTTATTAAACAATTCATAGTAGTTATTGAATAATTTATGGTAGATCCTGAATAATTCATAGAAGTTACTGAATAATTTATATTAGATACTGAATATTTTATATTAGTTATTGAACAATTTATAGAAGTTATTGAATAATTCATAGTAGCTATTGAATAATTCATATCAGATACTGAATAAAAAGTGTTAATATAAATTATACATATTAAGCTTCAGGCTCGACAGGTTATTATACACTACTGCTCAGAAATTAGGGATTTCTTACCATTTTTACAATTTCTGTAATTTTATATTTAATAATAACTTATTTAATGTGGATTAAAAAAATGACAAAATATTCACTAAAATATTCTAAATGTTTATTCAATATTTCAAGAATTGTGTGAACAACAAGTGAGTAAAATGATGAGTAATGTTCTGTACTTGAACTATTTTGATGATCTACAATCACTGCAGAATGTTCTACAGCTCTGTGTATCATTTAGGGACACATTTGACATTTATTGATGTTTATTTACAGCAGACTGATGATCTAGAACCAGTCGAGTTCTATACATTCAACTGAATCCAAACTGGTTTTATATTATATAAAACATTCTGTTGAACAGCGACGGGCAGAAATTCAAAATCACTTACAGAAGCCGAACTCAGTGCAGGTCTGGTAGAACCACTGTCTGTACCCGAAGCTCTCATCGGTGGTCTGATTGAAGTACTGGATGGTCTTCGCCCAAGAAACTTCCAGACACGACTTCTTTTCCATAGAGCGATAATTCTACAGACATGATCACACAGGAGTTAAGAAAGTGTGAGGATCTACACAGAACTATCACTTTATCACCTCTATTTACTTCACTTCCAAATTTAACCACAAATCGCACAGAAGCCTCAACAGCTGAATCTATGCTCAGCTGTTTGAGTCAGTGAGTCACTCTTCAACTTTTTTCCAGCTTCCGTTCTTTTCAGGAGACTCACTTTCAGTTCCTCAAAGAATCTGCAGACACACCTCCAAAGTTCAGTCTTAGAAGCTGGTTGATGATTTTCTGAAGTAATCAAACACATTCAGTGGTGTTGAGGTCTGGACTCTGGGGTGGTCAGTCCATTGTTCAGCTTCTTTGTTTGATGTGTCCGTCTCCTTTTCTCAGTGAGGTTCTTCTTGACAGCTACACATCCTTTCAGACCCATAGAGTTGAGTCGTCTTCTCACAGTGGAAGGATGGACAGAAACACCTGTGGATGTTTTCAGATCTGAACCAGATTGATTTTCTCCTCTCTCTCAAAGATGAAAGTTTTAAGTGCTGTTTGTCTGATGGGGGCAGTATTGGGGTCTAGGAGGTCTTCCAGGTGGTTGTTAGGAGCCACATTTTCTCTGTAGCTTTAAATCAGTTTTTGAACTTCACTTTTTGAAACTCCTGACTTTCTCCTTCCTTATGTAAGTGGATTGTATTATATATAGTGAAAATAAGAGAGCACACGTCTGCACATTGTAATGCACAATTACTGTTTATTTACTGAAATTAATATATTGAAGAAAAACTGAACATAAAATGATGCAAAAGATAGACAGATAGATAGATAGACAGATAGATAGATTGACAGACACTTTATTGATCCCGAAGGAAATTTAGTATAATAAATTTAATATATAAAAAGTTCTAGCATATTTTGTATTTTTCACTTAACAAAACATGTAATTAGACCAGGACATACGACTGTATATCTTCAATTCTTTTCTCTCACTGAAATAATTCCAGGGTGTTTTGACAGAAAGGGCTGAATAAACTGAGAAAATAAGAAGTCTGTGCATTCAGGCATCATGCATTTAGAAGTCAAGGTCGCCACCTGGTGGTCATACTGAAATTTGTGAACGTCAGAGCCCCCCAGAACACCTATTCTGTCTCATAAAGGCCGACGTCATTTATAACGCTGCTTAATGAATTAATAAACTCACTAACTGGCTGAGGATGAGCAATAGAGAACTGTTCCAACAAACTCCTCAGTTACAGATTTAATTACCAAGTGTTTGTGTCCCAGTTAATTCAATGGAAAGGTCTCTCAGGAAGACAGCAACTCACATCTATCAGCATCACAAGGATCAGCCCAACAGAATATGTTTTTTCAATTGACAAAGCTATTTTCACATTGGAGAGCTTTCAAAGGGGAATCCCACCACTTTTTTGAAATTTCTGCATAATGTCAGTAGTGGTTCAGAGTCATTCAGAGTGGTTTGGTATGAAATGGTTCAGATTTCTTTACAGTTGTGCTGATAGGAACCAGGGGTCGCCATGACTACAACACAAATATAGACATTTTATTTACTATCCAAAACCACCAATGAACCTACACAAGTCTTCTGAGTTTATATATAAATTTTATATGCGTTTACTTTGGCTGTATGATGCCCTGCATGTATCCCTCCACCATAAATGGATTTTAATGCCAAAATCTTCTCAAAACTATCGTAAAATAACGTCTCAGTAATCAGGCAGTGAATTCATAACCATTTCATGTAGTAACTTTCTGTGAGGGAGCTTTTTGAGGTGGACGTCTGGTTCCTATCACCACCACTATGATCAATTCTGACTCGGTAAGTTTCTCTAGAACGGAGCATTTCACACCAAACCACTCTGAATGACTTTTCAGATTAATATAATTACAATTACACAAATATTAATTATATAAATTTAGAAATTTGGTGGGATTACCCTTTAATATAAGGATAAGTATTAAAGTTCACACCTCTGAGAGTTTGACCAGTCTGTGATAGGCCTCCTCTCCCTCCGCCTGATCTTCGGTCATGATGTCACAGATGCGGGTGATGGTCAGCGGCCCGACCTCCTCATTGTACTGGACGGTTCCCATGAAGATGTCAGCCACGCTCTGCAGGAGCTCCGCCTGGTCCTCGGGGCTCTTTGGCGTCTCACAACAGCGGAAGTCCTTCCCCACCTGTGTCTCATTGCCCCCCAGCAGAGCAGCTTCCAGCAACGCAAAGGACTCCCGAACAGCCTTGACGCACTGAACCAGAGAGCAGAGGCATGTTTCATTATGGGAAATATAAAGAAATATAATGAAATATAATGACTTTAGAAGGGTTAATGACAAAATAAAGTAAATTCAAAATGAAAATTGTAGAAGTTCTAAATTTGAAAACTATTAAAAAATACTTTAAAAATATTATAAATGATATTACGTGAACTTTTGTATCAGTTGGAATCTATTCAATGTGTTTGACAGCTTATATAACAAAACAAATTCATTTTTAAACGGGACCATACATTTTGCCTCCCAGAAAATATCAGTGGAACAACCACAAAATTAATTGAAAAAAATCTTATGAACTTATAAATCAAACTTATTTACAATCACTAAAAAAACCTGTATGAACTGATCTTTGTACTTGTCCTTGGACACTTTCAGATAAATAAACATTATTATTAAAATAACATATTGAAGGAATATAGATTATCTTCTGAAATCAAATCTGTTTTTTTTTAATATACACTGTTAGTAATAATGGTTCTATGCAGGTACATTTTTCATTCATCAAGGTACAAACAATGTAAATGTTCCTTCAAAGGTACAACAGTGGTTTTAAGGTCCAGTTGTGAACCTTAAATAAGTTTTTCCAGGTGAAAATTCGTATTTGTACTTTTTCATAACCGAATGTTTTAAAACAGAACAGTAAAATAAAAAGCCTGGAGATGAGACGGGGTGTGTGGAGTCAGTACAGCTTAGAAAATATCATTTCAGTGAATTATGGTACAGTTATGTTCCCTGACTAAAGGTACTAAATGTACCATTTAGGGTTCCACCCCAGTGACAACGGGGGTACTGCCCCAGTGACAGTTTAGTACCTTTATTTCTGAGAGTGTTGAAAAGTGTTGAGGAAAAACTAAACATAAAATGATGCAAAAGTTATAGCATATTTTGTATTTTGTACAGAAATTGTGCACTAAAATGTGCTGGAAATGCCATATTTTACTGTTTTCCCTGTATATTTAGAATATTTTAGCTAATTTTCACTTAATAAAACATGTATTTTGAGCAGGGCATATGACTGTATAACTTCAATTCTTTTCTCTCGCTAAAATACTTCCAGGGTGTTTTGACAGAAAGGGCTGAATAAACTGAGAAAATAAGAAGTCTGTGCATTCAGGCATCATGCATTTAGAAGTCAAGGTCGCCACCTGGTGGTCATACTGAAATTTGTGAACGTCAGAGCCCCCCAGAACACCTATTCTGTCTCATAAAGGCTGAGATCATTTATAACACCCCTTAATTAATGAATAAACTCACAAACCAGCTAAAGATGAGCAATAGAGAACTGTTCCTGGCCCAACAAACTTCTCAGTCACAGTACCTTTATTTCTGAGAGTGTAGAGGATTTTGCTTCAGAATAGATTTCTTACACCTGGGAATAATAGCTCTTTTCAGCTTTGGTGTCCCAGTGAGGTTTGTGGTATGTTTCTTGAGAGGGACGCTATTAAGGACCTCCATCGTTGTATAACTGGGTGGAAAGTGACCATTTGGGAACCTTTAAATTTGCTGTTATGTACAGTCTTGCTATATGTAATGAAACTTTTCTTCTTTTGCCACGTTTTTGTTGTTTGTTTACATGGAAACCAAAACAGTGAGAAGTGCAGAACCAAATCTGTCCATACAGAATATAAATCCAATGGAACTGTGAACAAGTAACTACACTGTTAATCAAGTAATTATGTCATAACATTTGTAACAGTATAACAAAACCACAATAACAACTCATTTATCTTAAAATTTTGGAATAAATGTCAGATGAGAAGGTGTCTAGAACAACCAGTTTACAATCTGGAATGTTCTTACCTTCTCAGAGCCGCCCACACTCTCATCCCTAAGACTGTGTCCAACTACCTGCAAATAGGACACATAGGAGAATTAGATGAAGGTCAGCGGCTGCCACTGTGACAATGATATGTTATCCAGAAGGTTAAACAGCTGTGAGCGCAGCCGCAGCGCAAAACGTGCCTTAATGTGACTGAAATGTGCGTCTGAATTTAATTTTGATTTATTTAAAAGACAAATATGGTATAATTCATTGTTCTCTCTTTGAAATTAAACAGGCTGTTTGTTCAACAATCAAACACTTCTCATAGCTTCAGTGTGAGGGGGCGGGGCTAAACTTTTGAAGGCTAAATAGGTGGACGTATGTAAATATGTTGGTGACATCACAAAACAATGAATTGAAAATGAGCTTGGATTCTGTATATGGACTGTGGAGTGAAAGGTACATCTTGAAACTTTGGTGTTTACACTTTATTTCAAAAAAGCAAAGAAAATTAGTTTTTTTGAGAAATGGGCCCTTTAAGCTGAACCTACTAACTGCTCGCTCGTGAGGAGGAGGATCTAAAAGGAGCGATGCAACACAGGGCTAGTTTGAGAACAATCAGCAAATGAAAGTTCAGTGATGACCAATAAACCATCTTCTGCCTTATTTTATAATCCACTGATCTGGTGAAACTGATGGTTTGAAAGTAAGCTGTTCACACGAGTTGCTGGACGCTTTACATTACGCAACTCAACTGCAATTTAGGCCCAATCCCATTCCACCCCTCGCCCCTACCACTTAGCCCTTAGCCGTCTGTTTTGCACGTTCACGTCTAGGGGTAGGGTGTCCCGATTCCTGTTGAGATAGAGGGGTAGGGTGAAGTGTTAGGGCTACATGACCCTCCAAACAGAGGTTTTTCAGAGACTCCGAACAGAGTGATATGGGAAAAAAGAAAACCAGCAACATGGCTGAACAAGAGATCAAAAGAACCCACAAATGTGAGAATTTTCTCCATTAAAAAATTATGATAACCATCATATTATCTTAGTTTAATGTCGTTTCAGTGTATTATGGTGGTTTCTTCATAACAAGCATAAAAAACGATAATAGCATGCTAATGTCTCGGTAGCAAGCTAGCTAAATTTCCAGTTCCACCTTAAATAGTCCAGCAGTTCTGACGCCTGAAGTGCCAGATTTTAACTGCTGCACCATTTAAGGTGGAACGGGAAAATTCGAACAAGAAGCTGGTGAATATCTGACTTCAGCTTCATATCACTGAAGAATTAGCGGTGGGTGATAATAAATAATTGCCCCCCTCTTTGAAAGCATATGATGCCCTAAATGTAACTAAAGCCCAGCAGTGAGGAGCTGAACTTTACACTCCTCTGCTATCACTGCAGACTGGCAGTGTCGCCTACAGAGCAGCGCTAGTAGCTGTTAATGAAGTAATGTTTTTTTTGTTTTTATTTGAGGGTCCCATTTCGTAGGGCAAGAATTCAACCACTACCCCTTGTAACTCAGTTGCAGGGGGTTAGGGTGACACTCGAAAACAAGGGGTAGGGGTAAAAAGAATAAATGGGACTGGGCCTCAGTCTCACGTTGGTTTCAAGCAACTAAAGTTGTGAGAAATTTCCACAGTGCCTAACAGTCAATGGAATGTTAAGTTCAGGGATCATTGTGGGCGCATATTACGGTTACAACAAGGCACATTTAGCATTTTTCCACTCTAACAGCACACACACATTGCATTTAGGCACACGTGCCAGTTTTGTACATAACACGGACAGAATGCAGTTACAGTTAACTGTAATCTTACCAAGTTATAAGCAGAGAAGTCCAGTTTGGCCTGGACGGGGGCGGACGATGCCACTGCACCATAAACAAGGTGAGGAAACTGCAAAATAAACACAACACCAGTGACAAACAGCTACACCGATACAGCAGCACGGCTCATAGAAATGCTAATGCTGTTAACAGTGCATGAAAAGGTAGCAGCTAACATCAGTTAACATCAAGTAACACCATGCTAACGAGTCCCTAAGCACTGGCATTCATCACTAACTGTAGCCTAAATGACCCTCATTCATTTTTAGCAATGTTAGCATGTTAGCATATTAGCACATTCAGGGCTGTTCAAAAATATAATAAGAAAAATGTATGTTTTATTGTTTTATTGTTTATACCCATATATATAGTTGAAATACATTTCTGAAATATATTTTAAGAACATATGCAAATTTAAAATTTATTTAAAACTGGCCCAATAAATTTACAGCACTAAAATATGTATAAAAGTGCGTTGTGGTATTTGTTCCATTTTATAGCTGGAATGTTTACTGTGCCGTTTTGCTTACATATATTTTGAACTTCTATTTAATACTGAAGTCTATTCTTTAGAAAACATACATTTTCACTTATATTTGATAATATATTGCAATATAAATACGTAAATAAATAATTCATACTTAGTAGTGTAAATATTGCATTTTATTGCATGTGATTAGTTATTGCTTAATTGTGTTGGCATTTATTAAACTTTTTAAATTAAATTTAATAAAATAATTCCTCTAAGCCATTAGTGAGCAGTTAATGTGGTGTCATTTACATTATGTTAACGAGCCCCTTTCAGTCAATGCACTGGAAAGAATCCTTTTTTATTCCTAATTTTTGGTGCTTTACTGACAAAGCAGATGCTCTTTTCAGAATAAAAGTTCCTAAATGGTTCTTGGTTTGGATGTACGGTTCTAGGGAATACCTTAAATTGACATAAAACCGTTTTGCAAGATTATTTATCTAGCACAGAGGCAACTAAAAGTGCTTAACGTACATAAAAGCAAAATGAAACAGCATAAATAACATAAAAAAGGCAATTAAAATGGCAAAAAATGCAACTTTAAATGAAATACCTGATAAAATAAAGTTAGAATAAAAGGAACAGAGAATGAATAATAAACTGGTAGAAAGATGCAAAGTGTGATGACAACTTACATTTATCTTACTGTTTTATATATATCAATCTTAAATGCACAGAAACAGTCAGTTTAATGTTTTTTGGGGCATAAACCCACACAAATGCTCTCTCTCTCTCTCTCTCTCTCTCTATATATATATATATATATATATATATATATATATATATATATATATATAGCATTTGTGTGGGTTTATGTCCCAAAAAACATAAAACTGACTGTTTCTGTGCATTTAAGATTGATATATGTAAATCAGCGTTGTTCTGATTGGCTATCTTGTGCTACATTCTAAAAGCTATACTCCTTATAACTTCAGTGTGAGTGAGCGGGGCTAAACTGCTGTAGACTAAATCGTTGGATATGCGTCAATGTGTTGGTATTTGTTACATCACATAAACAATTCAAAACAGGCTGTTTTTGTAGTTTAGTTTTCTTGTAACTTCACTGGGAAGTGAATGACACATTGTTAAACTTTATTGATGTTTACATACTAGACGAAACACTTTCAAGTTAAGAAAGTTAGGAAAAACATGGTTTTCCATGATATGGGACCTTTAAGGGGTTTGAAAGGCAACAACCGTATTATGTGGAAGTTCTTTAAACTTAAAACTTAAGAAATGCTGCACAGTTCATTTACTACAGTGGCTCTTAAAACACCCATTGAAATGTTCTTTAGGGAACCAAAAGTGGTCTATTTTAGCACTACTTCAAATAAACCCCCTTTTTTACATACATTGTAAAAACGGCTTGTCAGTTCAACAAAAAATACTTCACGTGGTAACAAGTAAATGAACTAGTTTTATTAAACCTAAATAAATACTTTGAATGAATGATTTCAATTAAAGTAAATTTTGAGTTGAATAAATCTAGTTCAATAGCTTGTGTTTGTTTAGGTTGAACAGACAAGCCATCTTTTACAGTGTATAAGAGTACAAAATAGAGTGACCTGCGCACCTTTCCCCTGAACCACGCAGAGAGAGCTCCAGCATATGAACCTCCGAAACTGATCCAGACGTTCCTGCAGGTGAGGTTGTACTTCTGGCTGATGTGCTGATGGAAAGCAGCCAGATCAGCGAGTCTACGCAAGAAGGTGAAGAGACACAGATCAGACTGCAATCAGAAGACGCCTTCAGAACAGTGTTTGTGGGGTGTGCACTCACGCCTCCTGGCTGGAGAGATGCTCAAGGTCCTGGGTCTCCAGGCCTCCTGGGATGATGCTCTGGCCATAGAAACGGTGCTCCAGAGCCACCAGCAGAGCCCCGTGCTGCCCTGCCATGGACACGTGGTGACCTGAGGGACAGAGGAACACCAGAATCTGAGTTACACTCAGGTGGGGCCAAGACTGAAGTTTGGTGTCTTAAGGTTGCTTTTCTATCCAGCAGTTAAGTGGCTGTATGACACACTGCTATCTATAAACATGGACTGAAGTAGAGATAATTCAGGCTTCATGCTGCTACTACTGTTTCTAGCTACGCTAATGTGGTTTTGTCAATTGACATTTATCAGTAATACCGGCTGACAAACAATCACACAAAAAGAACTACAAAGCATACCAAACAACACCAGGAACTACCAAACCACACCAAGAACTACCAAATCATACCAAGAACCACCATACCACTTCAAAAACTACCAAACACACCAATAGCTACTAAACCACAACAAGAAGTTATATCAAACCACACCGAGAACAACCAACCCACACCAAAACTACCAAACTATAACAAAACTACCAAACCATACCAATAACTACTAAACAATATTGAAATTATCAAACCAGACCAAGGACAACCAAACCATACCAAGAACTTCCACACCATACAACAAACTACAACAAAGCTACCAAACCATGCCACAAACCACCAAACTACAACACAACTATCCGACCATGCCACAAACTACCAAACTACAACACAACTACCCGACTATGCCACAAACTACCGAACTACAACACAACTACATGACCATGCCACAAACTACCAAACTACAACAAAACTATCAAACTATACCAGAAACTACTAAACAATACTACATTTATCAAATCACATCAAGGACCACCAAACCATACCACAAACTACCAAACCATATCACAAACTAGTAAACCATAACAAGAACCACAAAACCACATCAACAACTGCAAACCACACAAAGAACAAGCAAACCGTACCAAGAACTACCAAACCACACCAAAAATGCCTAAACCATTATTTGTTAGTTATGGGTTAGGTTTCTGGTTTTGGGTACTAGTTTAAAGTGTAGGGTTCTGGATTAGGGTTTAGAGTTAAGGGTTATGGTCTAGGATTTGGGTTTAGGGTTGGGGAGCAGGTTATATGTCAATACTCACTGCTCTCTTTGTTTTTATGGCCTAAAACTGACACCACAGGCCACATACAGCATGGTGTACATTTATAACATACAGACACCTGCAATAAGCGCAGACACCCCAAGATTTAATGTACTCTGTACAGATGTGAGACAATAAAATACCACAAGGCCCAATTTGACTAGATAATCCCACACAGTCAATGGCTCTGATCTTTGTACTGAGTAGAAAGAGAATGAATACCAGCCAGCACGCTGAATTTCGAGAGAAGACCTTCTCCTCCGATGTAGAGGAAAACTGGTCCGTGAGGACGATTCCAGTGCGCTTCATTCACAAAGAATCTCTGGGACATAAAGGAAGAGGAGGACAGTCGAAGTCTGGTGAGAGTCTTTTATCTGAACAGCTCTGATTATAAACTCATGTGTGATATATGTGCTGAATTGCAGTTACAGTGTTTAGATATACACTGATCAGGCAATGGGTTGATATGGAGCATTTGAACAAAATCATAGTTTATAAATGCTTAATCGTTTTTAATATAAAATAATACATTCATTTCCTGAACACAGAACAGCATAAAACATTTTAACACTGCTGTTATATTTTTAAGAGCTTTTAAACTCGAGTTATAGGAGTTTAAAACAGTGCCTCTTGTACGTTCATGATGTCAGTGAGCGCAAACAGCCAATGAGCTGCTCCGCTCGCCAACCAATCAGCACTCAGTAGCAGTAATGTTAGCGTCCTGCTGCCCAAAACCCGTTTGCTGTATAAAAAAGGAAACATACAGGTGAGTTTTCTTTGCTTTTTTAGTGAAATACAAACTTGTACTTTCTAAAATTAAAGGAAAGTTCTAGGCAAGTGATTAGAAACTATTTTAATTTTTAGCCGTTGAGCTTCATTCACTCTCATTCATTGAGGACTCGTTCGTGGCCGCCCTCTGCTGTTTTAGCAGTCCTGTTTTTGATATAATGGGGGAAATAGGAAGTGGCCAGGCTCCTCATAAACCAGCTCTGGACTTGAGTAAGTGACGCACACAGGGGAGGGACAGAGAAACAGCAGTCGGAGAAGAAAGTGAGTCAGAAGGACGTTATTTCACATGGCGTGCTCTAAAAAGAGAAAACTGACAATAAATATTGTTGAAATATGACTGAATTGTTCTTTATTTGATTTGATATTCAGTTGTTGACTGTATAAGATGTTGATTTAACTACTAGGCTACTCCAGTAAACAGTATTTGGCACTGAGTCGTAATGCAAGTCAGACATTATGATGTTCCGGACCTTTGCTTGAGGAAATTTTCTCTAACTGGACCTTAGTGAACTTTAACTAAAGACCCCTGCTATAAATGATGATTTTGCATATATTTAGCCTCTTACTATCTCTGTTAGTGCCTTAGGTTTAAATAGACCAGAAGATAATCTTTATAAATACCTAAAGTCTGAATCCTTCATTGTTTTTTTAATAGGTTTTTTATTTTGGCAGTTTCGACTAATTCAGTGGAATGTCTGTATAAAAGATAATAATACACAGAATATTAAGCATACATTCATCAGAGCTTAAACAGGCTGTTATAAAGTGGTGTAAGAAGAGGGGCATCAGATTTCAGCACAGAAATGTGGATAAACTATAAAGCCCCTAAGGCGACTAAGTGTCCCTAGGGAGAGTATTTTTTTAATAAGGCGTGGCCACAAATTATTATATTAAGGCTACAGATTTATATACTGAGGCCACGAGTTAAGTTTCTCATAACTCATGGCCTCAGTATAGTAATTTATGGCCTCGATATACTAATTTGTGGAACATATTAACTTGTGGCCTCAATATACTAATTTGTGGAAGATATTAACTTGTGGCCTCAATATATTAATTTGTGACCTCAATATATTAATTTGTGGCCTCAATATATTACAGATCACATTTAAAAGACATTGTGAACAGCCAAGCAAAAAAAGAAAAACAGATTTGGGCCACATTTACCTGCTGTGTGAACATAGCCAAAGTGTCCCACTGTGTCTGAGTTCTCCTACCTGAGGGAAGGTTTTGGCATTTTTGCGGTTAAAGTGCTGCAGTGGTTGCTGTATGAGGCCCTCGAGCAGCTGCACTGCGCTGACCCCGAGCATCGCCGCCTGCCCCTGGGCCCTCTGCTCCTGCGCCTCACGTACACGTGCTTTAATCTTCCACAGCACACGCCCTGAAAAGTGCAGATTAATCCCAGTTAACTTGCATTATACAGGGTGATTCACAAAGATTGATCTGATTTCAAAATGATTTACTTCACTTGTAAATCATTACAGAACAATGCAGTAAACTGTAAATGGTTTAAGTGAGCATAAATTTTATTATGTAATTTTACAAGTGCTCAGTATGAACCTCCTCCAGCTGTACAGACAACATCAAAGCCATAGTCAAATTCATCCCATACTCCATTGAGCATGTTGGGTGTCGCTGCACTCACGGCTCTTTCAGTGAGATTTCGGAGATCATCCACTGTTGTGGAACCAACAACGAACACTCTGAGCTGTTGGAGGTTCACTGCCCACGAATATCACACTGCACAGTTATGACGGATTCACTCTTACTGAAATGGAGAACGCAGAATGCTTTCTGCTCAGGGGTTTCATCTCCTCTCAGACTGAAGGGAGCCATCATCCACTGACAGTCAGAAACTCTATGACCCCCTCTTTCAATTGGATTGTGATTGGTTCCTAGGCGCCTCACGGTTCTAAAAATATGGCACTTTGAAATTGGATGAATATTTTTTTCTGTATATAATGTATACAGTCATGTGCAAATGTCTGTGCGCACCAGTCCAGGTTTATTACAGTTGAGTAAAACTATCACTAAAACAAAAACGAGCAGTGAAAAAGCGCAGTCGTTAACTGTAATGAAATAAAAATGACATCGGGGCAGAGTGCTTCTATCAACAGAAGGGGCCCCGGGGCTGATGGACTCTGAGTGATATATGATCCCAAACAGGTTCACTTTGTGGAGAAATGCTTGGCGTGTTTTAAGTGTCCAGTGAGACGCCGAGTCTAGCTTCTGTCAAATGTTTCACTTTTGTTGATGCTTTATGCAGCACATCTGCACTTATGTTTATTTAAAAAGTGCAAAACGTGAACTTCTACACCAAAACTCAACACATCCTGACACTACAACACTGTTTTCCATTAGAGATCTGCGATGCGTCGTCTATATCTGTACATTGCCAAGTAATTTATATATAACACAGTCTGTTTTTATTAATTGTATTCAATGTTCTTTACTGATGGTATCCATAACTACACTGAAAAAAGTTTGTGTGCATCAGTTCTACATAAATGAAATATGTTTCATCAGCTTAAATTGTGGAAGGTAATTAAGTATTTACAGATAGTAATTATGTTAGTGTAACATGTTTCATTCAAATGGAGCCACTCTACACATTTGAAGCAAATAAATTTATAGCAACCTTTAAGCAACCTTTATATATTCACTTTATTAATGATAGCCTTTTCACTTTATTATTGATAACTTATTAACTTCCTTAATACATTGGCATTAATAATGCTAACTTTTTTTTCAACAAGTTGGCATTATTGACTGACTTATTAACTTTATAAATGCTAAACTATATTAATTCTAAGATTAATTTCATTAGTTAAGACTTATGTCATTAATGTTAGCTTCCATAAAGCTAACCAATTTACTTCATTAAATGCTAATCTACTAATTTTATTAATGCTAATCTATAAACTTCACTAATGCTAACCTATACACTTAAAGCTAACTCACTGACTTCATTAATGATTTTACCTATTTTGTTTATATAAACATCATTAATGCTAACTTCACTAAAGCTAACATTTTGGCTTCAATAATGCTACCAATTAACTTCATTAATGCTAATCTATTAATTTTATTAATGCTAATCTATAAACTTCATTAACACTAACCTATTGACTTAATTAATGCTAACCTCTTAATGCTGACCTTTTAAAGTCATTAATGCTAACCTGTAAACTTCATTAATGCTAAGCTATTAGCATGCTCCTTAAACAAAGCACTCTGCACCTTTAGGCTTCTGTGGGGCATAAATAAGATATAAAACCTGCGTTGATAAACTATAACTAATGAAGTGACACAATATGCTCCAACATTACTGCTCTCACCTCCATCTTATGGTACAAACTGATAAACAACAAAACCCATTTAGACTAATTTAATCCGTTTACTTGATTGGTACCATTTTATTGCGTCTCAGTCCACAACTTCTTTAGTTTAGTACAAGATACTCAGTAAAAATTAGTCCTGGTAAAATAGAATGAACAAAAGTAGAAATGTTCTATTAGTATTTCCACTAAAGTACTCACTTTCGAATGTACTTAAGTATAAAACGTAAAAGTAATGCGAGTTACTGCAGTTTGATTGTTTTGATTCGTATTTTCTATTAAGGAGGCCTGTGTGAACAGCTAACTTGAATTATTAACCAAATTAATGTAATTACTTAGATAATTCACAGTACTTTAAATTTTGATATTCAAGTACATTTAAAGACAAGTGCTTTTATACTTTAGATCAAGCAGAATATTGATAGAATACGCTAGGAATAATTGTGAGTAAAAATGTTGGACTATTGCTTTAAACTTGCCAATTACAACAGATGTTAATAGATGTACATGTAATATATTTACATGGTATTAATGTAAAAGTATGTATTTAGTACATGTTTAAAGAGGTAAGAATCTTTTTTTTTTTGCAGGCTTTTGCTTTTAGCAAAGAATCAGTCTTACCTGAGGAGGCGAAGTCGATAAACAGGATCATCATCAGCCACCGACTCAGCGTCATGATTACTGACAGATACTCACTGCTGAACACAGATTTAAATGCTCTGTCTTTTTTTCTGGTCGACAAAAAACGTGTGTCCGAGTTAAACGGTGTCTGAGTGCTATTTATAGTCAGCTTTCTCTGTACACATCTGCATTAGTATCCTTAAACAGTCAAATCAGCCAGTATTGATAACATAAAACCAGGGTGCTCAAATAACCATACGACACTGACGCTGTGGTTCACTATCACATTACACATTACATATGATTCATTCACAAACGCCAGGCAAAGCAGAATTTCACCTGCTCAGCCATAATTAAACACTACAGGACCTGACCACCTCGTTTCTACACTCCCTGTCCATTTTCTCAGCTCCACTGACCATATAGTTTCACTCTGTAGTTCTACAGTTACAGACTGTAGTCCATCTGTTTTTCTGCATACATTGTTACCCTGTTCTTCAGTGGTCAGGACCCCCACAAGACCCTCACAGAGCAGGTATTATTTGGGTGGTGGGTCATTCTCAGCACTGCAGTGACTGATGTGGTGATGGCGTGTTAGTGTGTGTGGCGCTGGTGCGAGTGGATCAGACACAGCAGTGCTGCTGGAGTTTTTGAACACTGTGTCCACTCACAAGAATAACTTGAACACATTCAAAAAAAGGTTAGGATGCAGTAAAATAAGAGTGAAAAGTTTATTGAATATTCAAGCTATACAGATTCAAGACATTAGCCAATAAGCAGGTAAACTGATAATAGGTGAGGGTTTAATGACTGAGTATCAAAGGAGCATCAACAAAGGCTCCGTCTCTGTTAGCCAAGCTGGGTCGTGGCTCAGCACTTTGTGCCAAACTCGTTCTCAAAGCAAGATTGCAAACAATTTAGATGTTTCACCATCTACTGTACATAATAGAATAAAAAGATTCAGGGAATCTGAGGAAATCTTAGCCCGTGTAGGACGAGGCCGGAAACCACTGAGCCCTCAGAGGGCGCTGCATTAGAAACCGTCATGCTACTGTGCTAAACACAGGCACATAGGCTTGGGAGGACCAAGAACCACTGTCACTTAACACAGTTCATCACTGCATCAAGAAATATAACTTAAAACTATTATGCAAAGAGAAAGTCACACATCAATTCCATGCGGAAACGCCGCCGAGTTCTCTGGGCCCGAAAGACAGTGGAAAGGTGTGCTGTGGTCAGATGAGTTCACATTCCGACTTGTTTTGGGGAAAAACGGATGCTGAGTTTCCTGTGCCAAAGACAAAGGGGGACATCCAGACTTTTATCAGCGAAAGGTGAAAATGCCAACATCTATCTTGGCATGGGGAGTATCAGTGCCCACAGCATGGGGTACCTGCATATGTGTGAAGATACCAATGGCGCGGAGGCGTATATTGGGATTTTAGAGAGACATTAAAATTAAAAAGCAAAACATAAAAAAATTAGGATTAAACACAAGGTGATGTAACACAGTGGTTAACATGGCTCTTTGACAACTTTATTACAAATTACAGATTCTTGCTTTTACTGTATTTTAGAAAAATAAGAAAAAGGTTCTAATATTTGAGAAAATATTTCGCTGAAATATTCAAAAATGAAAATATTCGATTTGTGGCCCTAGTGATCAGTGATATTTGTGCCAACTCTGATAAAAATTGTCAGCATTGGCTAATATGATCTGCTAGTGGGTGCATCGGTCTGGTTCTAATTCAAAAGAGGCAATGAAACAAAACATATATTAAACGCAAATAAAACATCCAATGTATTAAATGTTTAAAGCAGAAATTTTAATGTTTTAACAGCAAAAATCAAACATCAGACAGTAATCAGGTCAATTGCGCTGCAGACATTTCTCCTCTCAAAAAATCCTCCTCTAATCATCACTGCAGCATCAGCTGATAATCAGTCCATGTTAAGGCAACACAGTTTAGACCAGCTTCAGGATTGTTAGAATAATAGAGTGTTATTATAATTGCCATGAAGAACTGAAGAAATCTTGATGCTGAAACTTTGTGGATCAGATCCGAGTCAACAGGAAGCCTTCGTTGAACTTGAAGAGACCGTCTGAACCGGATCTTCTCGCCTCAGAGCTTGGAGAAGGGAACTTCTTTGAGACTCTTCTTCTCCAAAGCTGCCTGAGCTGACTTCATGAGATCATCAGTCTGCAGCATGCTCATGTTCCACGTAGCCTGAGGACAAAGAGAGAAGGAACCTCAGTCAGCTGAGCGCTAAAACGACCACTCACACCCTGCCTGTCCAGAAGTCTGTAAACTCCAGCGTTTCTTCTTAAGGGTATTAATAGTGAGTTTGTGCTGCAGTAACAGCCTCTACTCTTCTGGGAAGGCTTCACACTAGATGTTGAAAATTGCTGTGAGGATTTGATTGAGCACTAGTGAGGTCAGGTGCTGATGTCGGGTGGTCAGTTCTGCGTCACTCCAACTCATCTCAAAGGTATTGGATGGAGCTCCATCACTCCAGAGAACACAGTTCCACTGCTCCACAGCCCAATGCTGGGGGGCTTTATACCCCTCTAGCCCACGCTTGGCTTTGGGCATGGAGACCTCAGGATCACGTGCAGCTGCTCCAGTCTGTCCCATTCTTAGTCATTGCTTTTCTATGGAGATCATACAAGCTGCGCAAAACTTCATGGTTTATTTTATATTATTGTTGTTACTAAATCTATTCTGCTTCTGTCAGATTCATAATCTTTTACTTGTTTGTTTTATATAATTTTATCTTAAATTTTATTTATATGATTATCCATGTTTCTAATTTGTTTTATTTTATGCAGAACTATTGCCCAAGATTGTCTTTTATGCATGTCATGATTTTTTACTACTACTACATATAATCACTGTCCAAAAACAACATGTATTTCCATTTTTTCCTACTTCATTTGAGAAACAGCAGCTGCCCTTTACATTGTGTGAATGTTTCAAACACTGACTTACATTAAAAGTAAACACTGTTTTTGTTTTTACCGTTTTAGAGATTTGGAGTTTTTGGACAGCGATGTTTTACGTTCTTTATGTTTTCTTTTCTAGGTCCTTGTCACAACTGTCAATCTGTAAAACGCTTCAAATTAAAAGTGCTTGTATAAAGATACAACACTAAAGATCCGACTGTGAGAAATGGGTGACCTTAAAGTAGCTGAATTCACTAACTGGAAGGACTGTCTGGATACTTTTAGATTTTCCAGTTTGTGGCTAAGAGTGAAAATTATGGCAAAAATACAGGCAAAAAGTCTGAGACTGTTTTGAGAATCTGCGATTTTTACTTTAAATCTGGAAATAAACAGAAGTTTCAGAATGTTGAAAAAATTAAAACAAAGAAAAATTGACAATATAAAGAAGAATTATCAATTTGCACTATTTTTAGGTCACTAAATTTAAGCAAATTTGTGACACTGATCATGTTGAGGTGTTTATACTAAAAGGTCAGTGTTTTTAGTCTGATCTTTTCAGGTGAAGCTTGTGTTCAGACGACTCTCGGGTGGGTTTTATTTGCCGATGAGAGACTTTTACAAAAACACTATCATCAAAGCAAATGGGAGACACCACCAAATACTAAGAAATTCTGAAATTCATGTTCAAATTTCAAAGATTCTAATTTTCACTCAAATTGTTATGCTGATAACATCATTTGTAATGAAAATGTTTGTATTTAATTAGAAAAAAATCAAGACAGAAGTTTTTTTTCATCAGTGCTCTCATACTATTGGACGCCACTGTGTGAATAACATCACAGTACTTTGAGGCACTGTCACCACACAAAACACATTTACCCTTATTTACATTTTTTTCAAACAAGTTAGAACATTAGCCAAACAGCAAAGCCACATTTCTAACCAAGTGCTTCCAATAATGAACTTTTTGGGTTTTTTTTTTTCCCAATAATGAAATTTGAGCTTTTCTTGCCCACTGAGAGTCTCACCGCGAAATCCAGGCCCTCCTTCACACTGTGGTCTCGGGAGAAGATAAGGTTGATTTTGGTGCTTTGGACAGCAACGGGGCTCCGGCATGCGATCTCTCCTGCGACCTCCATTGCTCCCGCCATCAGGGTCTCTTTATCAGGGAACACACGACTGCAGAGACACAGGAAAGAACAAACGCACCAATAACTGTTATTAGTCAGTGATCAATCATTAACCAGCAAACCTAAAATCATAAACACGACCTGTGAAATTATCAAACATCACTGCATTTTATATAAACAAGGCTTTAAAGTTTTACTGAATGAAAAATGCAGACTAATGTAACTGATATGACAGTAATGTAGTCTATTTACCATATTATTAGTCAAATACACCTACATACGTTATGGTCAGAAGTATGTGGACACCCCTCCTAATTACTGAGTTCAGGTGTTTGACACACCCACTTCTAACAGGTGTACAAAATCAAGCACATAGCCTTGCAGTCTCCATAGACACACACTGGCTGTAGAATGGGTCGTACTGAAGAGCTCTATGATTTTAAACGTGGCACTTTCATAGGATGCCACCTTTGCCACAAGTCAGTTCGTAAAATTTGTTTCCTGCTAGATCTGCCCCAGACAACTGTAAGTGCTATTATTGAGAAAAAGAAAAGAGTTCAGACCACGCAAACTCACAGAGTGGGAGCGCCAAGTGCTGAAGCACGTAGCATGTGAAAATAGTCTATCCTCTGTTGCATCACTCACACAGACTGCCAAACTGCCTCTGGAAGCAAAGTCAGCACAAAAACCGAGCATCAGGAGCTTCATGAAATGGATTTCCATGGCTTAGCAGCTCCGCACAAGCCTAAAATTACTATGCCCACTGGACTCTGGAGCAGTGGAAACGTGTTCTCTGGAGTGATGAGTCACGCTTCACTATCTGTCAGTCTGATGGATGAATCTGGGTTTGGCAGATGCCAGGAGGACACTACCTCCCGGAATGCACAGTGCCAGCAGTAAAGTTTGGTGGAGGAGGGATGATGGGCTGGGGCTGTTTTAGTTCCAGTGAAGGGTGATGTTAATGTTACAGCACAAAGACATTTTACACAATCATCAGCTTCCAGCTTTGTGTCAGCAGTTTGGGGAAGAGGCTTTCCTGTTCCAGCATGACTGAGCCCCTGTGCACAAAGCAGCTCCATAAAGACACGGAGCCCCGCACAGAGCCCTGACCTCAACCCCACTGAACACCTTTGGGATGTACTACAACGGAGATTGTGAGCCAGGCCCTCTCATTCAACATCAGTGCCTGACCTCACAAATGCTCTTTTGACTGAATGGACACAAATTCCCACAGACACAAAATTTTGTGGAAAGCTTCCCAGAAGAGTGGAACTCTGCAAAGGGGGGTGACTCCATATTAATGCCCATGGTTCTGGAATGGGACGTCCAACAAGCTCATATAGGCGTGATGGTCAAGTGTCCACATTTTTTTGGCTGTATAGTGTATATGTCCTAGCTCGAAGTTCATATGTATGATTTAAACAACAACAATCCACACAAAGTATCACAGGACTAACTACACAGACTAACATTTAGCTTACAAACACATTTTTAGACTACAGCTCCACTCAAGAGAAGCAACACTGTTAGTTGTAAACTATATTTAGGATGGTTTAATCTCTGTTGCATTACTTTATTTAAAGTTAAAGGTAGGTGGAGTTGAGAGTCGAGTGCAGAAACGCAACCTCGTGTGTACAATTCAAAAACAGTCTTTAAGTTGAATGAAAAACCTTCCTCTTTAAATCTCAAATGTTTAGTGGAAATAAAATAAACTTTTAACCAAAAGCATTGATTGATCATTTATGTAACTGTCAGCAAAGTGAAAGGCTCCAGCTCCTCTAGACTGGAACATCCACAAACTGTATGAACGAGAGGGAGAGGCTGGTTAGAACCACTCACTATGTACATTCATCTCCTCAATCATTGGCACCCTCGGTAAAGACGGGTAAACAAGGTTGTAAATAAAAAGTATTTGGTTAATTAACTCAATCTCACTGTAAAAGAGAAACCTAACCTTTCACTGATAAAACTTTAGCCTAAAAAAAATAATAAAAAATAACATAACAGAAATGAGTCTTTCCTTCTAATACTTGATGAACCAGGACACTGAAACCCTCTCCAGGTCCTCTCAATCATCTTGTCCTGTATTGTATTTGTAGGCTAGTTGTGTTTACCTGTTTTTATTTACCAGCAGTGAATATACAGTAGGAGTAACACACCTGACCAGGCCGGAACTCTTGGCTTCATCGGAGTTCATTTTCCTCGCAGTGAGAGCCAATTCATTCACCAAGCTGAAAGCAAGAAAAACAAAAGAGGAAAAGTTAGAGAGCTGTATTTTATTATTTACTCACTTTACATTGTGACGACCCTCACCTTCCACTGCCGATCACTCTTGGAAGACGCTGCAAAGTTCCAACATCTGCCGCCAAGCCGATGTCTACCTCCTAAACATAACATGAAAGTAATTTGGGATGTAGAAGTTATAAATTTGAATAAACATTTATTAAAACAGCAACAAATATGAATAGAAATGGAATTGTATTGATGTGCCCCCTTGTGGTTAAATTCTCACATGATATTTTCATGAATAGGTTGTTTTGTCAGAATTTTGACTAATTTTTAATGTTTGCAAATATGTTCTATTTAAGAAAACCAGTTAATCATGATTAGGAAATACCAGAAAAAACTACACAACGGCTCAGCGCCAGCTAGCAGACCAAGAGCTGACGATAAGCTCGGTAAGACCACTCGATGAAAAACTTACCCTATGACATTATGTTTATCAGTAGTACACAACCAACGTTGATGAGTGATTAAACTACAGCATTTAACTTATTCAGCCTAAATGAAGGAAAAATGAAAAGAATAATCTGCCAATATTTGGGATTTTTAAATCAAATATTAAAAGGGGTCTTAAAAATACTACATTGGTCAGACACTAAACCGTGAGTGTGTGTGTGTGTGTGTGTACACAAACATATATATTCTCAGTCCAGCAGAGACACTGAGGTGTTCAAAAACACAGCAGCACTGCTGTGTCTGATCCACTCGCACCAGCACAACACACACTAACACACCACCATCATGTCAGTGTCACTGCAGTGCTAACAATGATTTACCACCTAATAGTACCTGCTCTGTGGGGGTCCTGACCATTATAGAACAGGGTGAAAGGGGCCTAACAAAGTTTGCAGAGAAACAGATGGACTACAGTCTGAAACTGTAAAACTACAAAGTGAAACTATATGGTCAGCAGAGCTTGTGACTTGTGAATGAAGCAGCCGGTTGGTATACACGAGTATGATGAGGTCAGAGATGTTTTACTGAGACACACAGGACAGTGCAGTAAAGTTCCTCATACCTTCACTTGAAACCAGGCGTCCTGTGTGCAGAGACGAATATCACAGGCGGTGATCAGATCCATTCCTGCCAGAGGAAAACACACACTGAGATGATGTAATGTTTCCTATAAATAAACAAAACTTCAGACATAAACGCAATTTAGAGAATTTTTTGCCAAACTGTTTTTTTAAAAGGTCAATATCCTATAGTTTTATTGTATTTTAGTTTCTTCCTGAGATCCACTTGTAATGTTTCCGTGGCTTAAAACATAATTCATTTCTACATGACTATTAATAAACTCTGTTTCCCTTAAAATCAAACCAGCTGTTTTTGTTACTGTGCCTTTAAGACTGAAAATATGTAAATGAGCTCTGTTCTGATTTGCTGCCTCATTCAAAAAGCAGTCCAGCCTGAAACACACCATCAGTGTGTCTTAATTCAGGGGCTGCATCCTTCGGAGGCTGCATTTGAAGGCCGACTGCAACACAGCGGTGTGACTAGGCTGTCCCATTTCGAAGGCTCCTTCATACGCGGCTGAGAAATGTGTTCCTCTTTTTCACGGCAATGAAGGGTCCAGTGGGTGCATCCTTTGCCAGCCAACATATCCTGAGGTTCACTGTGTGTTGGTCAGGATTCGAGAACATGGCGGCATCAACAGAAAAGCGTACGGCGGCTGAGGAGACACTTTTAAATGTAATGTATTGGGTTTAAACTGAGGCGAATGGCTTACGATACAGATGTAAAAATCTCATCAGTAGCCGGTGGTGAAGCATCTCCAGCTCTAATAAATGAAAAAATAAAAAAACTAAAATCAAAGTTTCTGGCTCCGTCTTTAAAGAACTTTAAAATAACTTGACAGGAGCAGCGTTTCGTGACACAGCGGTGCTGTGACGCAAACAGAAAATCAGCCATAAGACACGCCTTCGTAGACCGCGTCCTTCGAAGGATTCCTGAATTGGGACACACTGCATAAAATGTGAGCATGAGTGGGTGGAGCTAAACTGCCATAGGCTGAACAGGCAAAATAGATGTAAAATGTAACAGAAATAAATGTTTTTGTGACATCACAAAAGCAATTGCTTAAAATGGGATGTTTCTTATAGAGTTAGTTTTGTGCCAAAATGTTTGAGAGAGGAATGTTCTGGTTTGAGAGGGCAGCGGCGCTCTGAGCGCGCAGCTAATGAACTTGAACGCACTTGTCAGCACGAGGGGCGCAGGTAAACACCTCGGATTTGCCCAACAAAACACTCTGGTTTCATTCGAAACTTGAAAATCTGCACAACAGTGCATTTCCCTCTCAGAACTCGAATGTGCACAACACTCCGGTTTTCACTCAAAACTGGAAAACCTGCTCAATCATGCTCTTCACCTTCAAAACTCGCACGTGCGCGCAAATCATTTTTGCTCTCAGCTCCGCAGCGCGCGCTCAACTTTCACATCTGCTCGCTGTAAAATGTCTGAATGTTTGTGCCAAAACTCCAGCCAATCAGAGCTGCCGAGGGGCGGTTCCTGTCAGCGCACCAATAATGGCATCTTTTCTTAAGCAGCTTTGTGCCAATTGGTCAAGGTACGTTGACCAATCTGCACTGTGAGTGTTTTGTTGGGCAAATCCGAGGTGTTCACCTGCGCACCTCGTGCTGACAAGTGCGTTCAAGTTCATTATCTGCGCGCTCACAGCGCCGCTGCCCTCTCAAACCAGAACATTCCTCTCTCAAACATTTTGGCACAAAACTAACTCCATAGTTTCTGCAGCTTAGTTTCCCACATACAGAGCAGGGAGTACTACAGCTGTTCTAAACCAAAAAAAGAGAAAAAAATCTGTTTTCTGTTTATGGGCCCTTTAAAATAACGCAGACAAACTGAAATCACAGGTTAGGAAAGTGTTGAGAGCTCCAGACTGACCTGCTCCAACACACGCTCCGTGCACCGCGGCCACCACGGGCTTCGGACACTGCGCACAAACATCAGATATACAGTGCAAAGTTTATGCATAATATATAAGTATATACAAACAATCCTAATCTGTTTCACTATCAATACAGACCCAGACACACTAGCATTCATCAGTTAAATTTACATTTATATCAACAGAATTAATCATTATCAGGTGTTTTGCGTCACAGGCTTATCAAATGAATAGATTTTCTGTGTAAAACTTTGGCTGTTGCTTTGGTTGTGTTGACCTCTGAGGGGGTGGGGCTTCGTATAGCAGTACTGAAGATACAAAACAGTTCATGTTAATTTAACCAGTGCTTAAACACAAAACTTTAAACAGTTCTTCCACAATGACCGTAATTAAACTAATAAAGAGAGACGCAGTCAGACGAGAATGACATGAAACTGTGCATTATTACCTTAACTTCTGTGGTTTTACTGTGTTTTAGACAAGTTCTTACATGAGACATTAGCTCTGTGGCTAACTGCAGCTAGAGTTCACTCCACTGTCGCCAGTGATCTACATATTAACATTACAGATCAGTGTGCTGTGATGAGTATATTACTGTCTGATAAAATATGTTTACTTTTGTGGTTGTACTGTTTATAGACGGTGAGCTAGCCAGCTTGCTAACTGGTATGTTAGCTCCCTGACTAACCACAGCAGCACACTGTCACCTTACTGTTGCCAACCATACTAATTATCTACACTTCACATCAGTGTACAACACTAAACTCTGATAATTTAATACGATTAAATTAAATTTAACCTTTTCTTTTGTGTCAGAACTGTTTATGGTTAGCGAGATAGCCAGCTTGCTGTCTGCACCAACATGCGATTTTTTTCTTCTTTGCCAGTTTCCAGTCCAGTCTTGGTCACGTCGCTTTCACAAAACGACGCAAATTGCAAATGTCTAGCGTGACTAAACTTTTGCACATAGCTATGTCAGTTGCTATGCCACATAATGATGTGGTAAACTAACCTTTTCGAGGACCGAGAAGGTTTCCTGGTATTTGGAAATGGTCTGGCGAAGTTTCCATGATATCCTGGCGGTGTCGTCTCCTTCAGGCCGCAGGCCACCGGCCATGTCCATAAGGTCAATACCTGCACAGAGGGTTTGGTTCAGTTTGGCCTCAGATACCAGATGACCACTGAAATGAATTAATGAAACACTTCAGAAAATAGAAGGAGAAAGTTTCTCACGTTACCTGTTTTTACTGGCTGGTTAAAGCGGCACTCTAACATGCTGTGATTTTTGTCATATTCACAGTTTAATAAGAAAATTTTTAGCTTACAGGTGCTAAACTGTTTCTTTTCTCAACAATGTGAGCTTAGTATCAGCACCAAACATTAGCTGCCTCAGTACATCAGTGATGGATCACACTGCCTTACACCAATCACTTCTATCACATCCATGTCAGAACACATCGCAGTATTCAGCTTGAGCAATAGAACATGAGAGGGAGTGTATTATTGCGAAATAACAACACAGCTGTGATTTGATTGCCATAGATCATCACAGCCGTGATGTTATTCGCGATAACATGCTCCTCGAGTGTTCTACTGCTTTTATACAACAGTTAAATAAATAAAGTAAGAAATAAATAAACTGGGCCGTAAACGCGGCGTTTAATATGTTTTATTGTTCGCAGTTCCTTCCGCCAAATTATAGTTCCTTAACAAGCAGCTTGTTGCTACGTCAGAGTAACGAACTCCGCTCACTCGCTGCACAGCCGGCAGTTCGTTCTCCAGCTCCGTACACTAAAGTAAAACCGTTCAAATGGCTTGAGCGTCTCCTACAGCTGTCAAAGTCGTTGCTTAGCAACGGCCGTCTCAGCGTAGTGATACAGTGTTTGTGAAAAAAAAGTCATGTTATGACAAAATAACAGCACAGTTAGAACGCTTCTAAACCAATCAGCTTGCGTGGGCGGAACTAACTGTTGTATAATAGCTAGCAGATATCTGGATTTCTATTCTGTTGAGTAGTTAGACAGGTGGAAGAATCGCAATATATCTGATGCTCGCTGTCACAGTACTGAGTTAAACAAAAGCAAACTGAGGACGCTGCAAGTGTGGCATGAGAGAGAGGGAGAACACTAGCTGGCATCCTGGCTAGCTGATGAAACTAGACAAAAAAGAAAAATAGACAGACCTCGGTGGCATGAACTGCAGTGTACCTATAAGGAGGGTTGTCTAGTGTGAGAGAATCACACTGTATCTGTCTTTTTTGTCTCGTTTCATCACTGTAGTTCACTATAGTAACATTAGTTAGTGAGAGAGATTGAGAACAGCTTTACCTGCAGTGAAAAGCTTCCCGGCACCTGAGAAAATGACCACACGGCACTCTGGGTCTTGAGCGATCTGATTAAAGCAGTCGACCATCTCACTGCAAAAAGGAAAACCACATTAAAGCAATACTGACCTCATCAAACAAAATATCATATCAAAATACTTGAATGGTCACTCTTTACCAAAACATTACTCACAAAGAACTCACAGTTTTAGTTCCAGAATGAGGAGAAACTCTCTGTTCTCCTCTCGCTGTTCAAAAGTGAAAAACATCCTGCGCAATGACGCAGTATTTTGTGATGAGCAAAGGAACTTTATAGATATAGTTGATATACAGGGTGATTCAAAAAGATTCATCCGATTTCAAAGCGCCATATTTTTACAACCGTGAGGCGCCGAGGAACCAATCACAATCCAATTGAAAGGGGGGGGTCATAGAGTTTCTGACTGTCAGTGGATGATGGCTCCCTTCAGTCTGTGAGGAGATGAGACCCCTGAGCAGAAAGTGCTCTGCGTTCTCCACTTCAATAAGAGTGAATCCGTCATAACTGTGCAGTGTGATTTTCGTGGGCAGTGAACCTCCAACAGCTCAGAGCGTTCGTCGTTGGCTCCTCAACACTGGATGATCTCTGAAATCTCACTGAAAGAGCCGTGAGTGCAGTGACACCCGACACGCTCAATGGAGTATGGGATGAATTTGACTATGGCGTTGATGTTGTCTGTACAGCTGGAGGAGGTTCATACTGAGCACTAAAATTACTTAGTAAACTTTATGCTCACTTAAACCACTTACAATTTAATGCATAGTTCTGACATGATTTACAAGTGAAATAAATCATTTCGAAATCGGATGTATTTTTTTTAATAACTCTGTATATTTTGTGTGATATATATTCTGTACATTATTTTTCGTGGCGCAAAACCAAAACAGAAAAAAAAGTCCCATGTGTGAAGAGTTTAGATGCAAAAAAAAAAAAAAAATTAAAAATCCAAATATTTCACATTTTTGTACCATTTTTTCACGTCATATTCAATGTGTAATGGCCTTTAAGATACAATCATGTGAACAGTTAACCCCGTGGAACCGAGAGCTGTGAGTCTTAAACTCTTGAATTGCAGCCGGAGGAGTTAAGATGCCTGCACGTTCACATTAGCCAAACTAAAACATATCAGTGTGTAGAATCAGAGTTTTGTGTCAGTTACTGTTTCCCTTCACTGTGTAAGAGATGCTTGAGGCCTCCTTTACTGTTGGATGCATATGATTAGACTAATGAGAGTATATTAGTACTGCTGTCTTGGTCAAAAATGTAATTTGTGAGACAAACAAAAATCTATGAACACATTCTTTACGTGCTAAAGAAACGCAGCAAAAGCTTTGAGAAAGTGTTATTAACAGAGACCAGCAGATTAAAAGGCAGAAATAGCCATGTTTTTGTGACTTTTGGGCACCCCTGATCTAAAGCAGTCTGTAGACTAGGGGTGCGGGGAAAAATCGATTCTTAGATGCATCGCGATGCGGACATGAACGATTCTGAATCAATTCACAAATGTCAAAAATCGATTTTCTAAATATTTAATTAATAACGTAATGTTGACGGAACGCAAAAGGCTTCTTGTTCGAATTTACCCATTCCACCTTAAATTCTAACTGAGGCGCCGAATGTAAATGTGGCACCATTTAAGGTGGAACGGGAGAATTTGAAAGAGAAGCTGACCTCAGCTTCGCCACTTTTTTAGTGTGTGACAGTCTCTCATTGCAGATTTAACGTACCAGGAAACCAACTGCGCTGCTTATAAATGCGAATAACGCATCGTTGCTAGGTGACCTGCAGTCTGCACGCCGGTTCTCAGTCGTTGAGAAACAGGGCTTTTGCGCTATGTTTCACACGTCCCATCTCAAAGATACTTTACTGACACAGCGATCCCCCCCAACGTCTCTACAACAAGACCAAAACCGAAGTTATAAAATCACTAAAGAAACGGGTAGAATAGCTGTAACATGTGCTGCGTGGACATCCATCACCACTGGATCTTATTTCGCCGTAACTGCGCATTTTATTGCAGATGAGTAGCAGCAGCTTCTCGTGCTCCAAACAAGAGCAGTGAATGAGAGCCTTCTAGTTCACTTGCCACAACACTTCTGTTTGTTTTATTAAAAAAGATATTGGAAGTAAATTCATTATGGATCATTATAAATACGTTGCTTTAAAACTACCAAGTCACTTTAAATAACAATAACACCGAGTTACTTAGTCACTTTAAAACGTATATTGTCTCTACATTCTATGTATATTGTGTATATTTAATATATTTCAGTTGGTTTTTCTTGTATTTTTATTTTTACTTATTTACTTTCTGTAGAGTGATTAGCTGAGCCTCACCGCAAGCATTTCAATGCATAAATATCCTCACATGTTGTGCAAGTGACAAATAAACTTGAAACTTGAACTCGAAACTTGAGCTCACACAGTGAGAAAATATAAATGCTATATAGAAAAAAAAAAAAAGATGCATCGAAATGCATCGATTATCGTTCTATAATTGCATCGCAGCCCTCTGAATCGTAATCGAATCGAATCATGAGGTGCCTAGAGATTCCCACCCCTACTGTAGACCTAACTTCACTGTGTCTAAATTAGAACTGGGTGTTTTTCTTTTATTATATGATGTATTGTTGACATTGTAAAAAAACAACCGAAAAAAAACAATTCAAGCATTAAATTTACAAAAGAATTCCATAGAATAGCTGTTTTTAGTTTTTAATCTATTCTGTGTTTTTACTGATGATATCCAGGATCTGACTGCAGTGTGCATTTACTTAAGAAGAACTGAAAACCCATAAAAACTAAATAAACACTAGGTTTTCTTTCAATAAATGTACTTCCCGTCTGCTTAGCGTTTACAATACTGTGCAAGGTTTTCTTTGGTAACTTTGGTAAAAGCAAACCATCAAAACAATCCAAGATTTCACTGACTCCATTACCGCAAACTTAAATAACAGTTGATACTGTGATATATGGACTACTCTACCAAATCGGTTCAAACTGCACTCCCACAGTAAATAGCATAGAATTAAATAAATTAAATAGAATTAAATAAATTCAAAAAGAAAAAAAAGTATTCAGATCTCAGGTATTTAAAAGGATTATGTTCTAATCTATTTAAACCCAAGGCATCAACAGAGACAGTAATAAGCTAAATACATACAAAAAACATCATTTATAAAGTCTGTTCTTTTTTGAAAAAATTCTGAAAGATCTTTTTGATTTCTTTCAAAGTTAAAAAAATTCAATTTATTATTTAGTTTACATTTTAAATAAAAAAAGAGAATGATCGTAGAATGATCCATACTTGAAAAATATAATGAGACTGATTTTTTATTTAGCCCAGCACTGCTCTAAATGAAAGGAGTTCTGAAGATGGAGACCCCGACGGCGGTGGAACAGTGTACCTCCAGAAGGCCCGGTTCATGGTGTTGCGCTCCTTTGGACGGTGCAGCTCCACGTGGGTGACATGAGTGGCTGGTTGGCTGATTGCCAGGGTGGTGAAAGGTGGGGTGGGGCCTCCTGAGGCAGACATCGCTCTGACAGCAATCAGCGCGGGACACCACAGCCCTCGACCTGTCAGTAGATAAGTAAGTTTAAATCCTTTGGGAACTCTTGTGCTCGAAACCCACATTCCTTGCATTGTGACATACTGGATTTGATCAGAATTACTGTCTGTGCTGCTTATCAATACAGTAACACTGATTACATGTGTCATTTTGTGTTTAACTGACAAAGCGTTAAACAGGCTAAGCTTAGTAGAACAGATCTTCTGTCATGCAACATCAGCAGCTGACCTCACTAGTGCTCTTGTGGCTGAATGACATCAAATCCTCACAGTAAGGCTGAGCAATATGACCATATTTTAATGTTATCGGGATAAATTGTGTCACAATACGCTTTACTGAGCATATTGTGAAAACACTGGATATAAATAACTGTAGTTGCAGTGAATTCATAACCATTTCATGTTACAAATAACTTTCAGTGAGGGAGCTTTTAGAGGTGGACGTCTGGTTCCTATCACCACCACTGTGAACAATTCTGACTCAGTAAGTTTCTCTAGAACAGAGCGTTTCACACCAAACCTGTTTACATCTCAGCCATTTGGTTATGTAATAGGTGGGGTTTTCCTTTAATACCCGTTAGTTCGGAAGAACAGAAAGCATCTCTTATTTTCAATTTAGAGCAAACTGGTCAATGTAAATTGAATTGAAGTGAACCGAGTGATCCCGTCCTTAAGAGACCTTCTGAGGAATGAAGCAGCGCGGGCTGGATGCAGGCCAGCCTGTGAACTTTCACCTACTTCCGTCTATTTGCCTTCTCAGCAGCTACATAACACAGCAATGCCAGATAATGGCGGGTTAAGACGAGTAAACACCAAACATGAAATGCAGCTTTGAATCTTAATCAGATTCTACATTATTATAATTTAGTTATCAGGTTCAGCTGAGGTGACTAAGACGAGTAACGGTGGTTTCTAAAAATGTGCACATGACTCACAGTCCCTAGATATCAATGTAGGTTATTGATCTGTATAAAGCAGTTTATGACTTCAGCACTTATAAAAATCGTAATGATCAATGCGAGCTTCGTGCTCAATCGCTAACATATTCCGTTCCACCTTAAATGGTTCAGCAGCTGCGTTCTGGCGCCTGACGCAACACAATGTACCTGCTGCGCCATTTAAGGTGGAACGGCGAAATTGAAACAAGACGCCAGCTCAAGCTTCTGATTTAGTAATTAGATTTTGTTTCATATATAGCAACTGACTGCATTAGATCAGACAGACAGCTTTACTTACTTCCCACAAACGCAGATCTGATGATGGAGTTCATTGCACTTTGTAACTTTTTCTCTCTGAGATAAACAGAATAATAAAAGCAGATTCGGGATAACTGTGGCAGTCGACCGACCGATTAAGAACAAAAGCCGTGCGAGGAAACACCGGACGGAATGAACCTTTAGGAGGCGAAAGAGCTTGAAATACTGAGCGAGAGAGGCTGATCTTGAAATCAGGGAGGAGCTTGTTAAAGTCAACCGCTGCCAGCCTGCTGCAGTGTTTGCTCTCAATATGAGGATGGAGTTACACGGATCAGGCATAACATTATGACCACCTCCTTGTTTCTACGGTGATTGGCCATTTTATCAGCTCCACTTACTATATAGGTGCACTTTGTAGTTCTACAATTACAGACTGTAGTCCATCTGTTTCTCTGCATACTTTGTTAGCCCCATTTTACCCTGTTCTTTAGTGGTCAGGACCCCCAGGGACCCTCACAGAGCAGGTACTATTTGGGTGGTGGGTCATTCTCAGCACTGCAGTAACACTGACGTGGTGGTGGTGTGTTAGTGTGTGTTGCGCTGGTACGAGTGGATCAGACACAGCAGTTCTGCTGGAGTGGTGTTACCGCTTAACAAAAAATCTCATTATTTTGAAATAAAAATCACACTGATGACATCACTTGACTTCCTTTTACCTGTTTTCTGAGGATCTATGAAGAAAAGCACATGGTGAGTCCATTGTGTCTTTCAGAGATTTTCTCATTTAGCTCATGATTTCATATGAAGCTTTTAGCTGAAGTCACTGGTGTGACCTACTTTATTCTGAGGTAATTGTCAAAAAATAGAATACAAATAGATTAAATTACTGGCTAATATTATTTGCCTCTAATTTGGCTCTAATTCACACAAGAGACAAAAAGACAAAACATAGCAAATTAAACATCCAAAGTAATTTAGTACAGAACTTTTATTGTTTAAACACCAAAAAGCAAACATTAGACTGTTATTATCAGGTCAGTTACGCTGCATACTATTCTGTTTCTACCATTTTAGACCAGTTTTGTTTTGCTTCTGAATTGTTAGAATCTAAGTGTTTTTTTATAAGTGCTATGAAGAACTGAAGTAATCTTGATGCTGAAGCTTTGTGGATCAGAGATGAATGAACAGGAAGCCTTCATCGTCCCTAAAGAGGCCGCCTGAACCGGATCTTCTCACCTCATAGGTCGGAGAAAGGAACTTCTTTGACACTCTTCTTCTCCAAGATTGCCTGAACTGACTTCATAACATCATCAGTCTGCAGCATGCTCATGTTCCACATAGCCTGGAGACAAAGAGATTTGAGTGAACCTCAGCTGAGTGCTAAAACGACCACTCACACACTGCCTGTCCAGAAGTCTGTAAACTCCAGAGTTAATTATGAAATGAAGGTAAGGATTTGATTGATCATTAGTGAGGTCAGGAACTGATGTTGGATGGTCAGTTCTGGATCACTCCAACTCATCCCAAAAGTATTGGATGGAGCTCCATCACTCCAGAGAACACAGTTCCACTGCTCCACAGCCCAATGCTGGGGGGCTTCATACCCCTCTAGCCCACACTTGGCATTGGGCATGGTGACCTTAGGCTCAGTGCAGCTGCTCCAGAGTGTCCAATTCTATTGGTCAGCGCTTTTCTATACAAGCTGTGCAAAATTTCATGGTTAATTTTGTTTTATTATTGTTATCACTAAATTTGTTTTGCTACTGTTAGATTCATATTCTTTTTTTTTGGTTTATATAATTTCTATTGTTTATAATTTTTATGGTCCAAGATTTTATACATTGATTAGATATATTGTGTGCACATTCTATGATGAATGGACCAACAGAAATGGTCAGAAAAAAGTCCCATTACACTGACTTACACTGAACACTGTTTTTGCCCTCCTCTGTAAAGTTCCCATTTTAGATATACTTAATTTTTATTTATATATATTTTGGACAGCGACAATATGTTTTACGTTCTTGTTATATTTTCTTTTCTAGGTCCTCGTCGCAACTTTCAATCTGTAAAGCGCTTCAAAATAAAAGTGTTTGTTTAAACATACGTCACTAATGATCTGATTGTCAGCAATGGGTGACCTTAAAGTAGCTGAATTCACTCATTGAAAGGACTGTCTAGATAGTTTTGGACGGACAGTGTTTGTGTTGGCTAGATTTTCTAGCTTGTAGCTATGAGTAAAAAATATGGCAAAAATAAAGTCCGAAAGTCTGAGACTGTTTTGAGAATCTGGGATTTTTTATTTACTTTAAATATGAAAATAAACACAGAAGTTTTAGAAATAAAAAAAAAATGAGAACAAAAAAAGTTATGATGAGTAAAATGAAGAAATATTGAATATTCTGTCTCTCACTATTCAAATATAAGCAAATGTGTGAAGCTGATCATGTCGAGCTGTTTGTAGCGTTTTTAGTCTGATCTCTTTCAGTTAAGCTCGCGTGCAGACAACGCTCAGGTGGATTTGATCTGCTCACAAGGCTTTAGCACAAAGTTGTACAGCTCAAGCGTAAGCTGTCATCAAAGCAAAGGGGGGGACACACCACCAACTACTAAGTTATGAAATCCATGTTAAAATTTCAAAGATTCAACTCTTCACTAAAATTGTTATGCTGATATCATCATTTGTAATGAAAATGCAAAACAGAAGCATTTTAATCAGCGCTTACAGACCTTTGGATTTGAGGCACCTTGAGGCACTGTCACCATATGAAATACGTTTACCCTTCAACTTTTCCAAATAGGGTGAAACATTAGCCAAACAGCAAAGCCACATTTCTAACCCAGTGCTTCCAATAATGAACTTAAATTTGAGCTTTTCTTGCCCACTGATAGTCTCACCGCATGTTCCAGGCCCTCCCTCACGCTGTGGTCTCGGGCGTAGAGGAGGTTGATTTTGGTTCCTTGGACAGCAACGGGGCTCCGGCTTGCGATCTCTACTGCAATCTCCAGCGCTCCCGCCATCAGGGTCTCTTTATCAGGGAACATGCGGCTGCAGAGACGCAGGAAAGAACAAACACACCAATAACTGTTATTAGTTAGTCATTAATCATTAACCATCAAACCTAAAATCATAAACACGACCTGTGAAATTATCAAACACAGAACTACGTTTCATATAAACAAGGCTTTAAAGTTTTACTGAATGAAAAATGCAGACTAATGTAAAAGATATGACAGTAATGTAGTGTATTTACCATATTATTAGTCAAGTAAACCTGCGTACACTACATGGCCAAAAGTATGTGGACACCCTTCCTAATTACTGAGTTTCTCTGTTGCATCACTCACTACACAGTTCCAAACTGCCTCTGGAAGCAACATCAGCACTAGAACTGAGCGTCAGGAGCTTCATGGAATGGGTTTTCATGGCCGAGCAGCTGCACACAAGCCTAAGGTCACTATTCACAATGCCAAGCGTCGGCTGGAGTGGTGTAAAGCGCTGCCACTGGACTCTGATGAATCACGCTTCACTATCTGTCAGTCTGATGATGAACCTGGGTTTGGTGGAGGAGGGATAACAGGCAAGGGCTGGTTTTTAGGGTTTGGGCCCCTTAGTTCCAGTGAAGGGTGATGTTGATGCTACAGCACAAAAACATTTTACACAATTATATGCTTCCAGCTTTGTGGCAGCATGACTGAGCCCCTGTGCACAAAGCAGCTCCATAAAGACATACTTTGACGAGTTTGGTGTGGAGGAACTCCAGTGGCCCTCACAGAGCCCTAATCTCAACCCCACTAAACTCCTTTGGGATGAACTGGAATGTTGATTGCAAGCCAGGTCTTCTCGTCCAACAATAGTGTCTGACCTCACAAATGCTGTTTTGACTGAATGGGCACAAATTCCCCACAGACAAGCTTCAAAATCTTGTGGAAAGCTTCCCAGAAAAGTGGAGACTGATAAAGCTGCAAAGAGGGGGTGACTCCATATTAACGCCCATGGTTTTGAAACGGGATGTCCAGCAAGCACATATGAGTGTGATGGTCAGGTGTCCACATTTTTTTGGCTGTATAATGTATATGTCCTGACTGGCGTTAGTTTGAATTTCATATGTATGGTTTAAACAACAATCCACATAAATTGGATAACTACACAGACCTAGACTGCTGCTTAAAGCTTCACTCGACAGAAGCAACACTGTCAGTTGTAAACTACACTTAGGATGGTTTAATCTCGGTTGTATCACTATCAAAACAAAACAAAAAAAAAACTGCAACATAACAGAAATAAGTCTTCCCTTCTAATGCTTGATGAGCCAGCACACTGAAACTCAGGTCTCTCCACGTCCTCTGCTCAATCAGGTGTGTTACGTTAAGAGTTTATGAATTGTTTGTTTAAACTACAGTTCAGTAAATATGTTGTTGGTTGTTTGTAAACTGACTACACTGTAAAATATTTTTACTTCATTAAACCGGTCGTAACAGCTTTTCTGTGTGACTGTCTGCGGCCACTGTTGTTGTCTTACATGCAGGTCCGTTATTGGCCACATGGGGCCCTCCTGCGTAGACAGGTTTCTTGTTTACAAACATTACGGGTTGTGCAAGCAGCCAGGGGGCAAACCGCTTTTGTAAATTAGTCGGTCAAAAGACTGTAACATTACTTAACTGCTGTAATCAACATGGACCGCATTGTTCGTAAATTCTTGTTGATTCAAATATAAAAAGCCATTTCTGAATTGGATCTGTTTGTCTTTTATTTGTCTATTAATATAACATTATGTAAAACATTACTATGTAAAATGTTACCTAACAATAGTTGACTGTCATTAGGTCTCTATGAATGCCCCGCTAAGTGTTTAGCTAACAGGAGCTTTCCTAATCACAAAAACCTTTATACCTTGCTGACATGTCCTATGAATTTCACCCAGCTTACCTGATGTAGTTGTTTGTGGAGTCGCATCTTCTCCTTATCTAATAATATCAGGATCCTGATGGCATCATTAGTGTTGGTAAGGTAAGTAAATAGACAGTTTAGCTCCCTCCCCTCTGACATTACCTGAGAGTACATCGGTCCAGACTAGACCAGCACTCTCCGCTTCACTCTTTGCTTGTTAAATTTTGTGAAAGTTTTATTAGATTGTGTGAAATCCTCTGAATTTCTGAAAAAAATTGAGGGCCAAGTGCTATTGGTTGTCTATTGCCTTTTCTCCTTAAAGCAGGGAGATTTTGCCTTTTGAACTTTGTTTTCAGGTTTAGCTCGTTTTATAGCCCTTGGTTGTTTTGGTTTTTTGTTTGTTCCTGAAGCTACCACCACCTTACCATGGACCCTGAATCTAAATAAACAACATCTGTTTAATGGTTCAAAAAGTGTCCAGTTTATGGTCTGGCAACAGGTCTGAGGAGAGAGCCCACTCTCATACTCTGTTACAGCCTGATCCAAGACCAGGTCATGACAAACAATAAAGAAAAACACTGCTTGCTTCCATGCATCTTAGCCTGTACTGTATTTGTAAGTTACTATGAACATACAGTAGGAGTGACACACCTGACCAGGCCACAGCTCTTGGCTTCATCCGCGTACATTTTCCTCGCAGTGAGAGCCAATTCATTCACCAAGCTGAAAACAAAAAACAAGAGGAAAAGTTAGAGAGCTGTATTTCATTGTTTACTCACTTTAGACTGCAAGTAACGACCCTCACCTTTGACTGCCGATCACTTTCGGAAGACGCTGCAAAGTTCCAACATCTGCCGCCAAGCCAATGTCCAGCTCCTAAACATAACATGAGAGTCATTTGGGATGTTGATGTTATAAATTTGAATAAACATTTATTCAAACGTCAACACCTATGAATAGTTGTGGGTCGCTTTTGCCTTTCATATGTACAGTACGGCTCATATGCGCCTCCTTGTGGTCAAGTTCTTGTGCAATGCACTCTCAATACTGGAGTTATGAACACCCCAACAACACAATAATTTGAAAAAGGCTCTGGAGTTTTTTTTAATTTAATGTTTGCTGGAATGTTCTTTTGAAGAAAAATCATTAATCATGATTAGGAAATACCTAAGAAAAACTACACAATGGCTCAGCGCCAGGTAGCAGACTAACACCTGACGATATGTGCTCGGTAAGACCACTTGATGGGTAGGACAAAGTGCTAGAACGAATTCTCTCACAACATCGCTTACAGCAGCTTATATATATAGTGGTTGGAAGAAAGCCTAATATCTCCAAAATGGTAACTTTACATGAAAACTAATGTGTTTTCTTCTATGTATGTGTATTATAAAATCTAGACACTTGTAGTAAATATATTATATATATATATATATATATATATATATATTTACTACAAGTGCCTAGATTTTGCTGTTAATGTTTTGGCGTATTTTGAATAAACAATGGCCAGTGCAGGTTATAGCAAAAAATTTTCAAAAATTAAAAAAACAGACATTTTCTGGCCCACAGACTTATTGAGATTTTTAATACGGCCCCTTTAGTGGTTGAGTTTGACATCCCTGCTCTACTCCATCAGTGGTCACAGGACGCTGCCGGCTGGATGTTTTTGGTTAGTGGACCATATATAAATGCTCCTGTATGGTCAGTGGAGCTGATAAAATAGACTTTGAGTGTAGATACAGGGAGGTGGACTTAATGAAGTGGCCGGTTGGTGTACACAAGTATGATGATATGTCAGAGATGCAGGACAGTGCAGTAAAGTTCCTCATACCTTCACTTGAAACCAGGCGTCCTGTGTGCAGAGACGAATATCACAGGCGGTGATCAGATCCACTCCTGCCAGAGGAAAACACACACTGAGATGATGTAATGTTTCCGGTAAACAAACAAAACTTCAGACATAAACACAATTTAGAGGAATTTTATTTTGCTGTTCCTTTAAAAGGTCCATATCCTACAATTTTACAGTATTTTAGTTTTTAACCTCTCTTTATCCCTTAGAATCAAACAGGCTGTTTTTGTTACTGCGCCTTTAAGACTGATGCATGTAAATGAGCTCTGTTCTGGTTTGTTGCCTCATTGACATTCTGAAACACTACATAAAACGTTACCATGAGTGGGTGGAGCTAAACTGCTGTAGGCTGAACAAGCAACAACAACAGTTTTTTGAAAATGGGATGTTTCTGCAGCTTAGTTTCCCCCACATACACAGTGGGGAGTAAATAGTCAGAACTTTTGCAATATTTATGTACTTCAGCTTTATTTAAAACAAAACAATAGTGAAGGAAATTCTGTTTTCCACGATATGGGCCCTTTAAAACAATGCAGACAAACTGAAATCACAGATTAGGAAAGTGTTAAGAGCTCCGGAAAGACCTTCTCCAACACACGCTCCGTGCACCGCGGCCACCACGGGCTTTGGACACTGCGCACAAACATTGCAAAGTTTATACATAGACAAACAATCCTAATTTGTTTCACTATCAATACAGACTCAGCCACATTAGCATTCATCAGTTAAATTTTGAGAGCGATTTTACATTCATTTCAACAGACTTTGTCATTATCAACGGTTTTGCGTCACAGGCTTATCAAATAAATAGATTTTGGATGTAAAACTTGGCTGTTGCTTTGGTTGTGTTGGCCTCTGAGGGGGCAGGGCTTCATATAGCAGCACTAAAGATACAGAGAAAACAGAGTTATTGCTAATTTAACCAGTGCTTAAGCACAAAACTTTGAAAAAACTTTGACATGAAACTGTGCATTATTACCTTAACTTCTGTGGTTTTACTGGGTTTTAGACAAGTTCTTACATGAGACATTAGCTCTGTGGCTAACTGCAGCTAGAGTTCACTCCACTGTCACCAGTGATCTACATATTAACATTACAGATCACTGTGCTGTGATGAGTATATTACTGTCTGATAAAATATGTTTACTTTTGTGGTTGTACTGTTTATAGACGGTGAGCTAGCCAGCTTGCTAACTGGTATGTTAGCTCCCTGACTAACCGCAGCAGCACACTGTCACCTCACTATCGCCAACCACACTAATTATCTACACTTCACATCAGTGTACAACACTAAACTCTTGTGATAATTTAATGTAATTAAATGAAATTAAAATTTAAATGATTTGATTTTGTTTTCTTTTGTGTCAGAACTGTTTATGGTTAGTGATATAGCTAGCCTGCTGTCTGCACCAACATGCAATTTTTTCCTCTTTGCCGGTTTTCAGTCCAGTCTCGATCACGTCCTTTTCACAAAGCGACACAAACTGCAAATGTCTAGTCTGACTGTAAACTTTTGCATATAGCTATTTCAGTCGCTTTGCCACATAATGATGTGGTAAGCTAACCTTTTCGATGGCTGAGAAGGTGTCCTGGCCTGAGACAATGATCTGGCGAAGTTTCCATGATATCCTGGCGGTGTCGTCTCCTTCAGGCCGCAGTAAACCACCGACCACGTCCATAAGGTCGATACCTGCACACAGTTTGGTTCAGTTTGGCCTCAGATACCAGATGACCATTGAAATTAATTAATGGAACACTTCAGCATCCCCCTGGGTTACCATAACAACAGTCGAGCAACACCTTCGCAACTGCCTAGTAGTATATTAGCAACTGTTTAGGATACCCCAGCAACTGTCTAGCAACACCTTAGCAATCACTAACGATACCATAGCACCAGCCTAACAACCCCTTAGTAATCACCAGGGTTACCACATCAGTTGCCAAGTAGCACCTTAGCAACCACTAGGGATACCGTAGCAACTACCTAGCAACTCCTAGGCAACCACCAGGGATACCACAGCCAGTGTGTGAAATACGCCCTGGTATTCGGGGTGTCCTATGTTGTTTGGCTACTCCAGCGTTGTCTGGAGTCTAACTCACTCGCCATAGCGGCGCTGATGCTTTGATGGCAACAGATTGTTTGGTTGAACAGTTTTTCTGTAAAGTCTCTGTTCTAGTGTGGTTCTGCGCTCTTCCTCACATTAACTGAGATCTTCCTCGTCTCCTCTTCTGTCCTCAGTGTGAGAAATGATGAATCACATTCTAAAGTTTGTCGAGGTATCCCAGCCTTAGTTACAGTTGCTAGACTATGAAGGACCAACTGGGTGAACCAGTCTGCTACAGCGCCACCCTGAGGCAGAGCAGTGCTGCAGCTCTAGTTAGTTAAGAACACCAAAGACAGAAGCAGATACACAGTGAGCATCACTGAATTTGTATTTGAGCATCTATTTTCCCGTAATGGACAGCATGATATGTTTATTTTCAGAGACGCCCAGGATTTTGATTTTGAGACATTCAGGGGGTTCAAGAGGTTAAACAGAGGGACCCAGACCCCCCACGACCCACTGTATTTCCCATCTTGACGACAGTGACTGCCTAGTAGCACCTTAGCAAACACCTTGGATACCATATAAACAGTCAAGCAACACCTTACCAACCAGCTGAGATACCATAGCGGACAGTGTCGTTGAGCTAGGGCTGGGCAATACGGCAAAAAATGCAAATTTGATAACATATCAGTCGATATTGATAATTATCACAGTAAATGTCAAATCATTACTTCCTTCAAATTTAAAAGATGATTTTTGCTCCTGAGTGAAAGTTGAAGAAACCACACAGTTAATTGTGGTTGTAAACTATTATTTATGGTCAGAACGTGAAAGTTATTATTATTACCTGAACTAAAAACCTTCCCGGCACCTGAGAAGACAACCACACGGCATTCTGGGTCTTGAGCAATCTGATTAAAGCAGTCAATCATCTCACTGCAGAAAAGAAAACCACATTAAATGTGTTTAACTGTGTGTAACTGATGGTATCTTGCACAGCAAAAGGGATTTATTCATTCCCTGTTTGATTTTTGAACTTTCGCCAGCGACATAAACTCACCGATCAATCACAGCTGCCTCTGCTGTTGGCATGATGACAACCAGGATGACGGAGCAGCTGTGTTCCAGTAAAGAGAACTTTTTCACAAACGCTAAAAGGATCAGAATCTCCAAAAGAAGCTCAAACTGAACTACAAACAGAGAGTAAAATGTGGAAGAACTCAGAGTTTCAGCTTCTAAATTAAGTGATGAAACTCTTTTGCACTACTTTCACTTTTAAATGGACAGTAGCCCAGCGTGACTGTCTGTCTGTTCTGGTGGGAGTAAAGAATCTGATCTTATTTACACTTAAAGACACTCAGCCTGTTTGTTTTGTGCTTCGTTTAGAGAATCAGCTCCAACTCAGCTGAGATCCCAGCGGTGAATAAAAAGGGCTCATACAGTTTCAGCTCCTGAATGAAATTAAACTCACTGTTCTTCTCTCGCTTTTCAAAAGTGAAAAACATCCTGCGTACTGACATAGTACTGCGTACTATGGCTCCCTTTAGTCTGCGAGGAGATGCAACCCCTGAGCAGAAAGCATTCTGCGTTCTCCACTTCTATGAGAGTGAATCCATCATAACTGTGCAGTGTGATTTTTGTGGGCAGTGAACCTCCAACAGCTCAGAGTGTTCTGCGTTGGTTCCACAACACTGGATGATCTTCGAAATTGCACTGAAAGAGCCGTGAGTGCAGCGACACCCGACATGCTCAATCCAGCATGGGATGAATTTGACTATGGCATTGATGTTGTCCGTACAGCTGGAAGAGGTTCATACTGAGCACTTGCACAATTACATAATAAACTTTATGCTCATTTAAACCATTTACAGTTTACTGCATTGTTCTGTAATGATTTACAAGTATAAAATCATTTCGAAATTGGATTAATTTTTTTTGCCAATATATAATTTTGTGATATACATTCTGCCTATTTATTTTCATGGCATGTCCTAATATTGTGTATTTTTGTGACCTTTTTACGTAGCATTCAATGTGTAACGGCCTTTAAGATACAATCGTGTAGAAAAAATTAACCTCAATGAACCGTCTCACTGGAGATCCTTTCTGAGAAACTAATTTAAACTTGCAGCCAGAGAAGTTACGATGCACGTTCACATTAGCCAAACTTGTGTGTGTAGAATCAGAGTTTTGCATCAGTTACTGTTTCTTATCACTGTGTAAGAGATGCTTGAGGCCTCCTTTACTGTTGGATGCACATGAACACGACTAATGAGTGAAGTATATTCCTACTGCTGTCTTGTTTAAAACCTTGTGAGACAAACAAAAGAAAAATCTATGATCATCTATTTTTTGTGTACCAAAAAAAAATGCAACAACAGCTTTAAGAAAGTTTTATTAACAGAAACAAGCAGATTAAAAGACAGGAATAGCCACGTTCTACTTAAACCCAAGGCATTAATATAGATAGTAAAAAAAGCTAAATACATGTACAAAATCATCATTTATAGGGTACCTTCTATTGGGAGGTGTCTGTCCCAAACCCTAATACCCAAATTTACAATTCTGAAAATAATGCTTACATTTTTTTTCCCTTTGTCAATTTATTTAAAAGATGATTGATTTATTATTCAGTTTAACTTTTAAATTAAAAAAAACTAAACTTTATTTTAAAAAATGCTCATTTTTATGCCACTATCGAAACAAGGTGAAGTCTTATTTTAGAGCAGGAAGTGAGGCTGCATCCCTGTCCCTCATGACCACATGGTGAGCAGTTAGATCACATTGTTTTGAAGTTAATGTGTCCCAAAGTCTGAAAGTCAGTGTGGAACATTAAGAATTGTCATATTTTCTGCAGTTAAGTAATTTTTTCTATTTTACTGAAAAAATATGATGATTTTCTGTGTGAACAGCTGTTCAAAGCTGTGTTTGCTGGTCATGTACTGGCTGCGTTTCTTAGCTCAAAATGAGCTAAAATTGTCACTACCGAAACAGTCACTACTGAAATATTAAACAAGGTTTGCGTATTGTTATGATTGTTTTAGTAGTGACAGAATGGACTGTTCAATTACTTAATTTCATAAAATAAACATAATTAAGGTGTAGGGTCACTCAAAGCAAACAGACCAGTAAAAAGTCCCAAATGTGAACCAATTTGGTAGAATGATCCATATTTGGAAAATATGAAATGGAATTTAATCAGTACCGCCCAGCCCTGCTGTAAATGAAAAGAGTTCTGACAACAGAGATGATGATGGAACAGCCTACCTCCAGAAGGGTATGTTCATGGAGTTGTCATTCTCTGGACGGTGCAGCTCCACATGAGTGACATGAGTGGCTGGTTTGCTGACTGACAGGGTGGTGAAAGGTGGGGTGGGGCCTCCTGAGGCAGACATCACTCTAACAGCATTCAGCGCGGGACGCCACAGACCTCGGCCAGTAGATCAATACACGGCATATCAGAGGCATGAATAGTGGGATCAAACATTCAGTTCCATTAATCTTGTAAGTGAGGGACTTCAGAAAGTTAGTGGTGGTAGAAACGAGCGAGGTGGGTTTAAATCCTTTTGGAACTCTTGTGTTTGAAGCAGAGGTTTCGAAACAGCTGGAAACCCACATTTCTTGCATGATTACATACTGGATTCAGTTTGTGTCAATCAGAATTACTGTCTGTGCTGCTTATCAATACATTAATACTGATTACACAGGTCTTATTTTGTGTAATTGAAAAAGTGTTAAACAGACTAAGCTTAGTAGAACAGACTTTTATTAACACTTCTGTCATGCAGCATCAGTAGCTGACCTCACTAGTGCTCTTGTGGCTGAATGACATCAAATCCTCACAGTAGGGCTGGGCAATATGACCATATTTATAAACTTTTCTAAACATATTGTGGATATTGTCAGTACTTAAAGAATACTAACTACAACCATCATTGTAGTTGCAGTGAATTCACAACCATTTCATGTTATGAATAACTTTCAGTGAGGGAGCTTTTAGAGGTGGACGTCTGGTTCCTATCACCACCACTGTGAACAATTTTGACTCAGTAAGTTTCTCTAGAACGGAGCGTTTCACACCAAACCACTCTGAATGACTCATGCAACAATTTGAATATGTAGAATTTTTGAAAAATAGGTGGAGCTTCCCTTTAACACCCTTCAGTTCAGAAAAAACAAAGACTTTTGGACAGAAAGCATCTCTCATTGTCAATTTAGAGCAAAGTTGTCATTGTACTTTGTCCAAATCATGGCTTCATTGATCTGAGTCATCCTGTCCTTAGGAGACCTTCAAAGGAACGAAGTCCAGAGCAATGCGGGCCAGGCTGTGAACTTTCACCTACTTCCATCTGTTTCGCTCCTCAGCAGCTACACAACCCAGCAATGCCAGATAATGGCAGATTAAGGTAATTAAACACCAAACACTGAACAGGTGTCATAAAATGCATTTTGGAAGCTTAATTAGATTTTAGACAGATAGTTGTCTTGACCAGGTTCAGCTGAGGTGACTGTAAGACGAGTAACACTGGATTCTAAAAATATACAGATGACTGTACATTCCATAGTCATGTGTATGCATGTATTCCATATACAGCCATAATCACCAGACATAAATGTAGGTCAGTGATCTTTATACAACAGTTAGTTCCAGCCATGCAAGCTGATTGGTTGAGCAATGTTCTAATCGTGCTGTTATTTCGCCATAACATCATGTTTTTGTTCACAAACACTGTGTCACTACGCTGAGACGCTGTTACTAAGCAACGACTTTGACAGCCGTAAGAGACGCTCAAGCCATTTGAACGGTTTTACTTCTTACTTTGCCACAAACAGAAAATGGATACTTTTACAATCACATTTGACCGACAGCTGATTTGGTCAGACTCTGAAGATGAGACTACACTAAATTCCCAAACTGTCATCACCACTGAGCAGCTTTTCAGTCGGCAGCTGAGACAGAAGAACAGCTAAACAACCTGGAATCAGCCAGAAATGAACCCAATACCATTCGCCAAACTAAATGGGCTGTAAGATGCTTTACTGACTGGCTGGACCAAAACAACATTAATAGTGTTCTGGCAAAAATTCAGTCTGATTTGGTCAAACTCTGAAGATCAGACTACATGTTTGGCGAATGGTATGGGGTTCATTTCCGGCTGATTCCAGGTTGTTTAGCTGTTCTTCTGTCACAGCTGCCGACTGAAAAGTTGCTCAGTGGTGATGACAGTTTGGGAATTTAGTGTAAGGAGCTGGAGAACGAACTGCTGGCTGTGCAGCGAGTGGGCGGCGCTCATTACTCTGACGCAGCAACAACCTGCTTGTTAAGGAACTATAATTTGGTGGAAGGAACTGCGAACATTAAAACATAATAAACGCCGCGTTCATGACCCAGTTTATTTATTTCTTACTTTATTTATTTAACTGTTGTATAAAAGCAATAGAACACTCGAGGAGTGTGTTATCGCCAATAACATCACGGCTGTGATGATCTACAGCGACCAAATCACAGCTGTGATGTTATTTAATGATAACACACTCCTTCTCATCTTCTACTGCTTAAGTAAAAAGTGTAAGGCTCCAGCAATTCTAAAAATCGTAATATCAGTGCGAGGTTGGTGCTCAACATTTTTCATTCCACCTTAAATGGTTCAGCAGTACGTTCTGGCGCCTGAAGGCCTCAGCATACTCTTGCAGAGTCGACGTTCGCCTGGCTTCAACAATATGACGTAGCGGCAGAGAAAACGAACCACCGCAGACGTTGCGTGCAAATTTCTGTTCCTGCTTGTATTTTAGCTTTTAGAATAACACATTTGGCAACATAGAGCGGAAAGAAGTTTGGTCGCTTAGAAAAAAAATTCCTCCTTTCAGATACAATTTTGGAAGCTTCTCTTAAAATTATTTATAATTGTTATCCAGTAAACCATAAACTAGCTAAATTTAATCCTGTTATTATGTCAGACTGTTCTTTTTGTCACCGTTATGATGAAACTACTAATCATCTCTTTTGGGAATGTATCTATTGTAAAGTTTTCTGGAATGACTTTTCGAATTTTCTTCGAAAGAAAGTCTCTTGTGACTTCAACCTTAATCAGAAAATGTTTTTTTTTGATGTATTCATTGTAGATGAAAAATACTTTGTGAATTTATTGTTGTATGTAGCTAAATTCTATATACACAAATGTAATTTTTTGAAAAGAACTTTTAATTTTTTTGTTTTTAAAAAGGGCCTTAAAATGTATATTCACTCCTTAATTAATTCCAAAAACCCTTTAGCATCATTACTCTTGAACAGTTTACCACTTATAAACTGATATAATGTCCTTTTTCATAGCTCACGTGCTCTCAGGTGTTATTAAATTGTCAATCCCTTTTGTATGTACATTATATGTTGGACTGCAGAGACTGTGTCAGTCAAAAAAAAACACGTCGTGCGGAGGATAGATACACATATGCCGCGTTGTCCGTTGTTCGCTATCTGAGGTAATAGGGCTGCGCGTCCGCCATGTTGGAGCGGTCAAGATCTGCTTGTGAACAAATAC